ATGCCTTGCAGGTATTCCCATGTGAAGTCAAACCGGCTAAGGTATTCCATCCACTGGGCTTGACGACGGTTAAGGGTAGGCACGCCTTGCAGAAACGTCTGGTCTGGGTTGACACTACTGCAATTAGCGGTTTAAGGTCCTGGGTTCGATTCCTGGGGAGACCCCCGAATTAGTCGGGAGCGCGAGATTATGGCTAGCTGCTGAGATGTGGAGTTGAGGTCACAGTTGATGGACCAGATTCGCACGCTGGATTGGTGGCGATTGCCGAACCCTCCGTCTCTTCGGGTGTTCGGGTGAATGGATGAGGAGGGGTCCCTGAAGGCTGGATCCGCCGCCTTGGACTTACAGTTCGTATGGCGAAGTACAGTGTGGTAGTGGTGGATGGTGCTATAAGGTGATAAATGATCTAGAACTGACAATGTGATAAAGCGGCCCAGAAGCTTCCCACTCTGTAACATTACATTACATTACAGAAACGTTAGGGGTTTGTGGTCGGTTTTGAGGGTGAACGGCCAACCCTCCAGATAACACCGCCACTCCTTAAGCGCATGCAGTACAGCAAGAAGTTCTTGTTCCCCAGTGGTATAACGGGTTTCAGCCCCCGAGAACTTCTTACTAGTAAACGCAATTGGTCTCCCGTTTTGCAGCAGTACCGCTCCCGTACCATGCAAGGACGCATCAGAAAGGTTGGGAGTAGTCCAGGAAACACAGGATGATGTCTTCAGAGACAACACGTTTAATTGTATCAAAAGCTTGCTGGCAGTCAGGACCCCAGCAGTCAGGAGATACAAAAGCCCCTTTACGTGTCAGATTTATCAGAGGTGCGGCAATAATGGCATAGTGTTCGATGAACTTACGGAAGTAGTTTGTCAGCCCCAAGAACTTCCTTAGTTCTTGTAAATTGGTCGGGGTAGGCCAGTTCTGCACTGCAGCAGTCTTACGGGGGTCCATGCGGATGCCATCCTTGGAGACGATGTGACCAAGGTATTCGACCTGAGGCTGGGCCCAGTGGCACTTAGAACGCTTGGCAAACAGTTGCTCACGCCGCAAAATTTCAAAGACCAGCCGTAAATGCTCCAGGTGCTCTTCACGTGTCTTTGAATAGACCAGGATATCATCTAGGTAGCAAACGACAAAACGGTCTATGTAGGGCCAAAAGGTTCGGTCCATGGATCATGGCCATCAGGGCTTGGAACGTGGCAGGAGTGTTCGTCAAGCCGAAGCTCAGCACAGTATACTCGTAATGACCAGAGGGCGTACGAAATGCAGTTTTCGGAATATCTGATTCAGCAATACGGATTTGATTGTACCCCTGCTGTAGGTCAATAGAGCTAAAGAAAGCCAAGCCATGCAGTCTATCCAGTAGATCATCGACCCGTGAGATAGGATAGCGATTTTTAACGGGGTCGCATTTAGACCCCTATAGTCTATGCACATACGCAGAGTCCCTGCCTTTTTACCCACAAATAAAATGGGAGCAGAATACGGGGATGTGCTGGGTCGAATCATACCTTTCCTCAGTAGGTCGGCTACCTGGCGTGTCACCTCATCCAGCTCCAGGGGGCTGAGGCGATACATGGGGTGCGAAACAGGCTGTGCACCAGGAGCCAAAGGTATGGTATGATCTACCGGTCTCATCGGGGGAAGTCCAGGGACCTCACGGAAGATATCTGAGTATTCGTTAAGAAGGGCTTCAACCGCAGGGTCATTTTCAGTGATCTGGGTAATGGCTGTATTCAGTTGCAATTTAGGCTGTACTAGCAATCCATGCGCCCCCTTGTGAATCATACGGATAGCTGCTTTGCACCCAACAGATTCAGGCTCAATTCGCTTACAGATAGCGGCAGCAGCAAAATTCACACAGGGTTCGGAGTGTGCAGCACTAGTATTCCCTTCTCCCATCCGTTCCGCAGTGGTGAAAGGCGCCTTATAACACAAGGTTCCCTTCCGCAACTGCAAGGTGTGGGTCTCATAATTCAGATGAGCCCCATACTGATCAAGGGTAGCGGACCCTAAGATAAACGTGGCTGCATCAGTAAACTTAGGCAGCACATATGGACGGACATTTAGGCGCAAAGGGCCCAAGGATATACGAAGGGAAACTTGACCCAAAATGACCTGCTTACCCCCGTCAGCAAGGGTGACAGATGACCACGATGCCGGTTGAGGTTTCAGTCCGAGTTGCTCAACGATGGACGCAGAAATGAAGTCGTCGCTGGCACCAGAGTCGGCCATGGCAGTTAAAGAATGTCCAGCGACACGAATGCCAATTAACGGGACTCTGGCCCCTGTTGACGCAGCAACTTTTGCACACAGGACTGAAACATGGGGCTCCGTGTCAAGGTGCCCCAGGACAAGAGGGGGATCGTACCAAACGTCAGCAGTATACGGCAGACCTGGAAGGGAAACAAGTTGACCTGTCATGTCTACACCGTTGAAAAGCTTGCTACCAGCATGAAACTGAAGAACCCGACGCATCCCTATCAGCAAGGAGGCAGCCCTCGGGGATACATGTGCTGGTAACATGAGACAGGCAGCAGTGTCCGGTCGCTGACGTTTGCAAATACGATAGTAAGCCAGCTGACGTTTGCAAATACGATAGTAAGCCAGCTGAGACTGAAGTTCCTTGAAAGAGGAAGGGGAAATCCAAACGGTATGCCCACCCAAGTTACTAGAGGTTAGACGCCGTGGAATAGCAAACAGATTACAGTGCTCGTCAAAACCAGGACGAGCAGTATGAGCGTCAAACGAAAAACGCTGTCCAATGGCCTTCTCAACTTGGTTCAATATGGCCGGTAAAACAGCACGGACAGCACGTCCAACCGGGCAGATAACGGGTACCGTTTGGTTTTGTAACCCAGGGAGTGCTTCCCTGACACTGTCCTGGGCAACCCCCTATTTTTCCCCATTCCTAGCTCTCTTCTCTGAAAGCAACGGGCACTCCGCTACTAGGTGCTTGTCCTCCCCACAGCGGAGGCAACGGCTATTTTTCCAGCGGTACTCATACTCCGCCCGAGTGCAGTAAAACTTATTCATCCATTCGGCCGGATTCGAATCCCAGCCACGCTTGCCTAGCACCGTCGTCCCTGTTCCCGTGGCAGCGGCCCTGGGCCGACCCTTGTCCCTATGCTTGCCAACCCGACCCCTGCACCCACGGTTCGACTCACCAGCACCGGAGGCCTGGTGAGCTGTATTCCGCCCAGCGGCAACAGTAGCAGCCCGAGGCCTGACCTCCGGTGCCGGGAGGTCCCCGTCATCAGTGATGATGGGCGCGGGATCCTGCACAGCGGTGGACGCACTCAGAAGCACGCGGGTTTGGGCTTGAGAACGAAGTTTAGCAAGTTGACGGGCCTCAACACCAAGCGTGTGCTGCACAAGTTTTGCATATTCCTGAAAAGGCTTTCCGTCACGGTCGGTCGCACATTCTCCTGAAAACTCAGCGGAAAGGCCGCGGATAAACCAGAAAATCCGATCAACCTCCCTTAAGTCAGGAATTGGTGCTATCAGGGCCTCGAAACGACTATGGTACGCGGCTACCGTTTCGTTTGCCCGCATCTGGTGCTGCCCAGCAGCAAGCTTTTCTAGCGCTTCTAGTTCGCGCGTTTGAATCTGCGGGGCAAAACGAATTAATAGCGCCTCCAAAAGTTGCTCTAAGTATATTGCAACGGCGCGTTAGTCCAGTCATCATGCCAGGTTTTCGCGGCGCCTTCAAGAGCGTTAGCTAAAAATAAGCAACGGATACTGTCATGATTTTCGCCCCGCACGAAATCAAAAAACTTCCGGACATCGCGGACGAAGGCACAGACTCGTGGCGCAACTTCCCGCGATAATTCACTAAGCTTAATATCTGCAGGAATACTAAGCCTAGGTACCGGAATATTAATTCTGATCACCTCATCACTAACCCTAGCGGGCAAGCCGCGCTCAGTAGCGACGTTGTTCCTTTCATTGCCGGCGGTCGTCCCGGTGGCGCGACCCGCGATGTGTTCCACTGCAGGAATCGGAACATCGGATGAGGGATTATTCATATTTATCAATTGGTTACTGTTATTCAGGGTAATAGGCGGCGGCGGGACAGTTCCATTGGTCATATCGATAGCGGAGGGCAATCCCCAACGACTTCGCCTAGACTGCTCCATTTCCAACTATCCTGACCCAGATCAGGCAGACCGCGTACCCAAGTAAAGAGAACTGTCAATTTTTCTGGAGGTCTGTTCTAGCACCGAACGGGTGCTACGAAGCTCCTCCGAAGAGCCTCCGGCAAAGGGCAGGGACCGCCGAAGGAACTGGCGGTTCGGAGCCTGCAGCAGCCTTACCGCTATTAACCCAAAATCCTAGAAAAGGTCAGCAAACAGATTTGCTAAAGTAGTTTACAGACCGGCGGCAGCGACTTCGCGGACAGCATCGCTAAGAGCGTCGACGATTGTAGCCAAAGGTCCGGTGACATCGTCGACCTCCATCCGTGCGCCGGTAGAAGTGGGGGTCTTGATGGCAAAAGGGGGATCTTGAAATTTTCAGAAATGCGAGAGGCCCCGGGAGGAACCGCCTCGATACCAGACTTGTTGTATCTTACTAAACCACAACTGGATGGTGCCGTCGGAAGACACCGATTTGGAAGAGTTTCGCCCGCTTAAATAGCGGAGGATGCGGCCATCCCATGAATCGTACAGCCAATTCCGAAAAGGCACGGTCCAGTCCGGAATGGCGTACCGTTGATCCATGCTTCCAATCGATGACGGGGCTCCGCGAGCCAGGGACCAGCGTCCCAGTCGTAGCCTGTGCTACGACCCCCACCCATACTTCTGCAAGTATGGACTTCCACCTGAGGCGGCGTTTACTTGTAGGCATCCATGACAGCGTCCCGCTCGCCGTCTGACCCAGAGGTTGGAGCCATAAAGATCTGACAGAAAAGCGGCAAAATAGGCAGTTGGAATTCAGTTAGTTCCAGCGAATTTGTCCAGTAACCGCGCCAAGCGAGAAAGGAAAAATTGGACAGAAAAATGTATCAGTTTGGGCCCAGATTTAAGAAGCGGAATACAACAGAGATGGACACTGCCAGGGCTGCTGAAGGCGCTGAAGCAGGGGAAGAGGATGGGTGGCAGTACAACCTTAGGGCTTGTCAGCATAAGGGCATCAAATGGGCACACCATCAGCAACAGGCGGCAACACAGCCTGCTGTTGCTTGTGCAGGCAGGGATATTGCTGGTGGTGTTATCCAGCATGGTGACAAGGCCATGACTTCTGAGTACCTCCCAGTGGATGCCTTGAGCTTTGCCTACAAGCCCCAGGATGCAGTGGCCATGTTGGATGGACCAGGTGTCTCAACCATCATCCTTCCTGGCCTGAAAGACTTGATCATGAGGGAACAGGTTGCAGCAGCTTCTTCAAGCATCCGAAGTGAGCTGGCAACGGAGGATCAGGCTGTATTCAGTGCTGTGCCATTGGGCTGTAACAACCACCCCAAGTAGAACAGGCAGGGCCTTATCATCGTTGAGAAAGGGACGGGGCAGAGTTGGCAGGTTTACCTGCTGTGTAAGTCATCAGATGAGCATGCTGTGCTGAGGGGTGGGGCAAGTATAATCACATCTGGAAGCCTTCAGGAGGTTCTGGTCATAATGGAGCATCTCATCACACATGAGGTGCTTGGTTCCAATCCAGGGGCAGCTAACATTTCAGCTCATCAGCCACCAGTGCTCTTAGGCAATGTGCTTGGGCCACCATACACTCACCCTGTGGGATCACAGAGCCTGCACATGGATATCCTCCCGCATGCAGTGGGTCACAAGGTTCCAGACTTTGTAGTGTACATGGTCCTGGAGCAGCTCAGTCTGGTGGCGCCTTTCAGCCACCACTTAGTAAAGAGTGGATTCGGCAAGAGGATCAGTTGAAGCAATCAGCCACCAATATTGCTGAATACCTGCACTGACAACCAGTCCAACTGATGGTGATGGAGCCAGGGCAGGTTGTGCTAATGCATCCAACTGCATCCATGCTGGTGATGCTGGCAGGCCCGTGGGACCTGGTCTAGAGATCTCCAAGGCTGCCCTGGTACTATTTCCGGGAGGAGGTTGGTAATAACACCTACACATCCATCACCATCCGTTGGACTGGTAGTCAGGGCAGGCATGCAGCAATATTGGCGGCTGATTGCTTCAACTGATCCTCTTGCCGAATCCACTCTTTACTAAGTGGTGGCTGAAAGGCGCCACCAGCAGGCTGTGCTACTCCAGGACCATGTACACTACAAAGTCTGGAACCTTGTGACCCACTGCATGCGGGAGGAGATCCATGTGCAGGCTCTGTGATCCCACAGGGTGAGTGTATGGTGGCCCAAACACATTGCCTAATATCACTGGGGGCTGATGAGCTGAAATGCTAGCTGCACCTGGATTGGAACCAAGCACCTCATGTGTGATGAGATGCTCCCCCATGACCAGGACCCCCTGAAGGCCTCCAGATATGATGATACTTGCCCCACCCCTCGGCATGGCACACTCATCCGATGGCTTTCACAGCAGGTAAACCTGCAGCCTCTGCCCCGTCCCCTTCTCAACATGTACGATGGTAAGGCCCTGCCTGTTCCACTTGGGGCAGTTGTTATGACCCAATGGCACAGCACTGAATACAGCCTGATCCTCCATTGCCAGCTCACTTAGGATGCTTGAAGAAGTTGCTGCAACCTGTTCCCTCATGATCAAGCCGTAAGATTGTCAAGATGCGGAAACTTAGTGCCCAGGTGCAAGCCACAGAACCTCATCACCCTCCGTGGAGATGGCTAACCTTGCCCAAAACCGCTCTACCGAGGGTGCTGCATGGCCGTATGGACCTGCAGGGCACACAGCGGAAGTCAGTACCAGCTACAGCCAAATTACTTACGAAGAAAGCACACCCAAGGACGTATTCTACTCCCTCTGTTTCCAAAGCGACCACCAATTGGCCCATAGCGCTTGCACAGCCATTGAAAGCGTGCAGTTGTATAGACTGACCACTGAGAAACGTTGAGGGCCATTGAAAGTACCATCACCGTTTGCGTGATCTGTGCCCAACCTTGTGTACCCGAAGCCGTGCATGTAAAGCTATTGGAGATCCTAGACCGTGGCATCCGTGGCCAAAGGGTGGGGCAAAGAGACTTTCCCGACAACTCACTGCGGATAGGCTGCTCGGTCAGGAGGTTCTCCTTTTTCCACAGGAGGTCCTCCACTTGCCGCAGGAGGTCTTCCGTTAAGTTTTCCTTTTGCCGAATCAGCAACTCTTTCTGTTTGCTCACGCGGTTGTAGATGTCCTTAGTTGAGGCAGCTTCCAGCTGCTCCTCCACTAACATCAGGCAATCGTTGACATTCTCCAACTTGTCTCTTGTCTCTGTCATCTCCTCCAGAACCAACTGGAGCTTGTCCGCCATGATTCGAGGGCTCTACAGTCGACCACCCACCAAGTGGTGTTGTAGACCTATTACAACAAAGGTGGTTTGCATATCCTGGAGACGCGACCCAGTGTACCGATGGCACAGGTCGAAATGGATGTGACCTTAAGAGGCCGAAACGGAAACCCTGCGAAACGAAAACCCTGCTAAACCAGTTTCCGTGCTTTCGGCAAAGAGGTCCAGGAACACCGGAAAGGCCGAACTAGTTACCGGCCTTTTCGGCAAGCGCCGTGCGCGGAATCGGTTTTTAAACTTTGAAATTTAAAGCGTACGAATGGTATATAACCCTGCGAAACTATGCGATCATATGATTTCGTACATACAATGTCAGACATAATTTCAGTCGCTGACTTGGAATTGGCACTTGGAGGCGTCACTGAGTGTTGGACAAGCAAGGTACTAGCCTTTCTTACTAGCTAGTTCTTACTATGCCTAAGCTATAGCTTAGGAGCGGAACTCCCCACTAATACGCGCGATAATGATCTTATAGCGTACTACACCACCCTTAAATTGCCAGTTGAGAGCATTCTTAAGATATTTGCCAAGCGGCTTGACGCACGGTGGTAGTGCCCGAATACCTTGGGTGAACCCCGCGTTTTCCCCATAGGGATTACCGGAGCCAAGGCTTGTCACTGTATGAACTGGATGGGAGCGGCCCCGCCTAGGGGTGAGCATCTCGATTGGTTGGAGCACACTAAGGTAACCATGCCCCCAGCGACTACATCATGTGCTCATGCGTTTTCGGTTAGGCTGTTGGGAGTTAGAGATTAATAGGCCTAATGGGCGTGAGTGCACCGTGCATACCTGCAGGCTTTGTGACTGCGGAGTGGTTGAAGATGAGTTGCATGTTTTCGACGAATGTCCCGCTTACAAGAGCATACGGGCTTAGTATGATGGTGATCTAGTCTTTAAGGGGCGCAGTATGCGCACCATTATGACTGAGGCGCCACCCCTGGCATTGGCCAGGCACCTCTTGGAAATCTGGGAGGCCAGGCACGTTGCGCTGAGGTGCTTCACCCTGAAGCGGACGAGGGAGAATGAAGATGACCTCCCGCGTACCCGCATCAATACCAATACAACGTCCATGGCCCCCCTGGCTTTTGTGGACACACCCGCACTTGTGTGCAGAACTTGTAATTTGTAACTTGTATAATTTCAGTGCTTAGAGGAGACCCAGGCACCTCTGGTAATGGTGGATGGTCCTGTATGGTGTGATAAATCGTAGAAATGACAATTTGTTCAAGTGGCCCAGAAGCCTCCCACTCTGTAACAATTCAATTCATATGTCAAGCGGCGAGGTGACCCAGGTGACCAAGTCTGACCAAGTCTTAGGAGAATTCGTTAGGTGCAAATGCACGTGTGCCACAACACTGCATGCCCTAAGGCAGGCTAGCTAATAGCTATAGCCCCATTGGGCGGCCCAATGGCTGTGCTAGGTGTCCTGCCTGCACCCTGATCTACAGGATTTACACCCACAGCACTGCGGGCAAGCAGCAGCCAATCCCCTGCCCCTTGCACGGTAGTATTAGGAATTAAATCCATTAATTATCTAGTTTACAATTAGTTGGTTAGTTTATTTATATATAACAACTTCTGGAATCAGCTAGTTGATATATAACAACTTCTGGAATCAGCCGTACAACGCCAAGCAGAGATGCTATAAGCGCGCTGTTTGCTAGCTACGTAGGAGGACTAACTAGCAACCTATGCAAGCGGTGGAACCGTTTGCTTTCTGCTTCGAAGCGGATTCCTCCTATCGTACACACCAAGGACACCGTCGACGGCAGCCCCGCTGATACGTAAAATAGGCGGGATATTTCGTTGGTGCGTTCCGGGCGGCGAAGCGGAGAGGGGCAGCCACTGCACGCGCGCTGTTTGCAGCATTGGGCTCTTTAGAAAGATATCCTCTCTTGCAGAGGAAAACTTGGGGTGTCCAGCAAGCTTTCCAGCCAGCCCGACTTCCGCCGGAGCATACCCGCGTTCGTCTGCTGTTAAACATGCCGTGTGTCTATTTCCGACGAAGGCCGCTATCACTTGCGGTGCTCGTCCAACATACCGCAGCCGCGCCGTAGCCCAAATCGGCCCTCGACGGCTCATGACAGTCGTTTCGGTTACTAATAAGGTGCAGCGCGCCCGTGTAAGCGTCAGCCGTCGTAATTCCACTCATTATTTTTTCATTAAGTAGGTCAGCCTGGTCCGTCAAGTTTCGGGTTACTTCAAGAGTCCGTTTTCTCACGCCTATCTACTCCATCGCTTTTGCCCTGAGCTCAGTATAAAGCTTCATATTGAGCATACAAATTATTTGGTATATCCTACGTCAATCCTTGACGTTGCGTGTCCATACTGAAAGAATGTAGGCTGGCGGGTCTGGGACGTTTGAGCTAGAAACGCCCCTGCGAGGTGTTGTTCGGTTCTCTTCTGCATTAACCCTAATCTGTACCCTAGACCTTCATGCCTTGTTATTCCCATAAACTTGGCGCCCATTCACAAGGGTAGCTGACATGCTGCATGCATACTTGCCCAGCGCCAATACAACTGCTTAATAATCATGGAAACATTACATATCCTGGCTGTACAAAAACGGACAGCGTTGCTCGACGCAGTAACACCTTCCATTGAGTTGCCTGCTACGAATCGTAGCGCCATTCGGTCTATTTTTGTTCGTTGAGTATAATCTGCACAACAAGGTTTTTGTAGCCTTTTTTGAAGAGCTTTCCTCTGTGTTCATAACCGACGCGGTGAGCTTTTACCTTACCTCCTCCTGCATGTACGACAGCGTGCCTGAGAGGCATTGTAAGATAGTTGGTGCTATTTACGTACAATTCTAATCAGGTAGTGATAAGGCATACTGTGATATGTCGCTTGCTTTTGTACGACTACAGGGTCGCGTTTCTACTCAGATGGCTCGCTCATGTGTGTCTGTTCAGGCCACATGGAAAATACCACATCTACTCATCTGAACGCATGTACATACTGCGCTATCTATGACAGCCTGATACGCCAGGCCATCTTGTCCATGTATCAGCAGGCGGATACATCTGACTCAAGCTCTAACTTATGCAACTTATGTTTTCCATAATGTACATAGAAACAGACGTCTACGTTTCCCACCGTAACGGCTCGAAGTAAGGGGTGTAGGTCACTAGAAGCTGCATATCACAGGCCAGCTTCTTGCATACTAGGGACTTACATGTATGCGACATGCATAAGAGATTCGGCGGCTGCCGGACGATTTTTCAGCTTTCTGTCATGCCTTCTCATTGTGACCGCGTCAGCTCACAGACAAGGCGCGTCACGGCGCTTAAAGCAAGCTGATGGATTGAGCCCTGATGGTAAGTTTGCTGCAGTGTAACCAGGCGCTGGGCCGTGTAGCGCACCTTCTGGCCCTTGCGGCCCCAACCCACGGCAGCCCACATGAACTGCTACTTTCCATAGTCCACATATTTCTAATACCTGCACTTTGGCCTTGGGCAGACATCAAGGTCGTCCCGGAAGCGGACAGCCGGCCGTTCTTGGCCCTTAAGGATCCCATCAACGCTGGCAGCGAGGATGTACAGCGACTGTACGAACAAGCTAGTCAGGTGTCGGCCATTGCCTATCTCCTCTTTGCTGCCGCGAGGCCTCTTTCTGAAGCCCCTGGTATGTCTGGTTAAGTCAGGTTTGCTGAGGCAATCGACTGCATACCTCGTGTGACTGCATAGCAAATCCAAAGACCTGGCCGAGCATGCATAGCCTTGACAGACAGCTTGTGCCAGCCACTGTGCTTTCCATTTTTGCTTTTCATTTGCCGAACCTGTTTGCTACATTGCTATGTACGTTGCTATGTATATCCATTTGGGTCTCTTTATTTCGGCCGCTGGTGTTGTGGCAAGAATGAACCCTGCATGTTTACCTAAGGACTTTCTAAGACTCTGGCACTTCACCACTTGGCATACCTACGCACCGCAGGCTCATCCAACGCGCTTTTGCCGTACCTGACGCCCACATTGCTGCGACTGTACACGTCCCAGCCTGGGCGCTGCAGCTCCACCCTGACCAGACAACTGTACGACTTATCTCTGAAGCTGTACGGAACAACCGAGCTGCAGGTGCGGTGGTTATTACAAGTGCCGCACGAGTGCGGGGTTGTCCGTCAAAGCCGGGAGGCCATGGACTATATGGTGGTTATTACGGTATCATTAATGGCTGGGTGTCTGACAGCCTACACCACCCTGTAGGCTTCTTAGGTGGTTCTCTATGGGTTATGACAGGTCACGCCGGCATCTTGCGCATCACGCCATGTAAACAGCCGCAGGTACTGCCGAAGTGAAACTGCCCATTTACCGATTGTCCGCGTTGAGCCTATGCAAAACCCTTTAGTAAAGTTAGTTACCAAAGGATTTTCAGCAAGTTGCACAATGAACAGCCAGGGTGACTGCTGCCGCTTCAAATTGTAATATTAACGGTAATGAGAACCCTGTTTGCCGCGTATTGCTTCCCCCCCTTGCAGTCCTGTCACTACGATCTGTACACCTCCCTCGGAGCTGCCTTTTCCTGGGTCCGGGACAACATCCCCCTGCGGCTGCAGGAGGTCCCCGGGCAGCCTCTGGCCTCCGCCGCGTGGCCCGACATGTCGCGGACTACCCCGCTCAAGCTGGCGGCGAGGGTGGCGGAGGCACTGCTGCCAAATAACAGCCTTGGCGATACGGCCTCCCAGCTCAATGCCAGCTGCGGCCTGCCAGCGGCGGACTTCGCATCCGCGGTGCCAAACATATCCACAGCCCTGCAAAGACTGCACGCGGACCTGCCGCTGATACAGGGCTTGGCAGGGGAGATGCACTCGGCCCGCTGGGCTCCAGACCATCCCGACGTGGATGAACGTCGCAGGGCGCTGTTAGAACAACGGACTGGTGGTTACATCAACCCGCAGCTGCATATTGCTTCGGAGCTCGACACCGCTGATGCCGATGGCAGCTCCTCCCGCGGCATTATGATCTCTGATAATGACGATATTCTCAATAATAATGATGATGACATCGTTGCGCACGGCGACGAAAGCACCCATCGTTTCCACCGGCGGAGCGCCGCTACATTGCCGTCCAACTTCTTCTACTCCCTCCCACCTGCCAACTTTGTGCTATTGCCGCCGGGGAAGATGTCGCAGCTGATGGTCCCGCTGGTCTTCCACATCATGCTGTATCAGGATGGTCGGAGTATCGGACCGGCAAGGTACGACCAGTCGTTGCAGTACGTCCAACGGATGGTCCAGGTCACCAATATCATGGCCAAACCTTCGAGCGTCCAGTTCTTTGTCAAGGTAAGGTACGGTGTGGTGTGGTAAAGCGTTTAGAGTTTTGCTGCTGTACGTGACCTGCGTTGCCGTGCCGTGCCTATGGATGACTGTCACACGATAGGATAGGCCGCAGTGGATTTCCAACATTCCTTGCTGCTGTGCGTCGGTCGATGCGGAGTGCACATGCGGCAAAGCATGATCGTTAATCGCTTAAAAGCGGCGCGCGGGGGGTCTTAGGAGAGGGATAGACGAACCCAGGCGTGTGTCTGTGGGGTATGTAGGATTGTTACCAGTATGTTGTTACTTCACGGTGCCGCGGCCGCTAGACAGAAGTCGACTTCGCGATAGCTGTGTAAAGCTTCCTGGTTCATCATAGGATATCACGTGTGCGCATATCCAGCGCAGTGACAAGCCCGTTGGGTGGTGCGATGTGCGCCCGGCCAGTCACCACTGGACAGAGGAACTCGGCTGTGCCCGTCAGAAGATCCTCTGACAGTGTTGGCAATAACTAGCTGCAAACTTGCTTCCCACAGCCAACGCTGCGCGCATTGGTGTATAACCTTTTCTGCTTTTGTCACTATTGCAACCTCCCTGTGTGTGCGTGTGTGTGTGTGTCTGTGTGTGTGTGTGTGTGTCTGTGTGTGTGTCTGTGTGTGTGTCTGTGTGTGTTGCATGTGCGCAGGAGGTGCGCAACGACCCCGCAACCTACCCGTACCTGCTGCTGAGCGATCGAGCCACCTGGCTCCAGGTTCCCCTCCAAAATTGCACCGGTCCCTCCTGCTTCAGCAATGCTACCTTTATGTCTACGTAAGCGTGGGGAGACATATTTTCCAGACGGAAGTACTTCGGCTGCCGTTAACAGGCGGGATGATTCGGCTTGTGTAGGGATGCTTTGTTGGTACGGTCACCACAGCGACAGCCAGTTTGCCTGCCTAGCGGAACCTCCAACCCTAGTCTTGCTGGGGTGCATACAGTAACGTAACGTGACACGTGTGATTGATGACGGGAGTTGTGTTTCACCCAGCGGGCGGCGGCATACCCATGTGTGGCTTTGCATGGACCTCCATTTTGGGTCCAGGGCCCTGTACTCTTAGCGTCACATAACTGGGTCAAATGAAGAGTGCTAACAGTGAAAATAATATATTGTGATGTATTTTGTTCTGCTCCACCTGCGGCATGTAGGAGTGTCTGGGACTTCCCACGCAGCGTCAACGTCTTCATCGCGAGCGACTCCACAGTGGGAGTCCCGCTGGGATACGCCTACATTGGCGGGTAAGGAAAGTGGCAGCACGATGCCGGCGGCCTCCTTGTCCATTCCGGCGACATAACACAGCTCGGTTTGCCACGTAGCCGCTGCCGCCAGTCGCAACAGCAACCACGATATAGCTACAAGTTACAAGTTCCGCACGCAAGTGCGGGTGTGTCCATAAACGCCGGGGGGGCCATGGACGTTATATTGGTATTGATGCGGGTACGCGGGAGGCCATCATCATCCTCCCTCGTTCGCCTTCAGGCCGAAGCGCCTCAGCGCGACGTGCCTGGCCTCCCAGATTTCCAAGAGGTACCTGGGCAATGCCAGGGGTGGCGCCTCAGTCATAATGGTGCGCATACTGCGTCCCCTAAAGACGAGGTCACCATTGTACTCGCCCGTATGCTCTTGTAAGCGGGGCATTCAGCAAAAACGTGCAATTCGTCTTAAACCGCTCCACAGTCACAAAGCCTGCAGGTGTACGCGGTGTGCTTACGCCCATTAGGCCGATTAACCTCTAACTCCCAACAGCCTAACCGAAAACGCATGAGCACTTGATGCAGTCGCCGGGGGATGGCTACTTTGGTGTGCTCCAACCAATCGAGCCGCGCTCCCCTAGGCGGGGCCGCTCCCATCCAATTCATATAGCGACACGCCTTGGCTCCGGTAATTCCTATGGGGAAGACGCGGGGGTCACCCAAGGTATTCGGGCGCTCCCACCGTGCATCAAGCCGCTTGGCAAATATCTTAAGGATGCTCTCAACTGGCAATTTAAGGGTGGCGTAATGCGCTATGAGGTCATCACCGCGCGTATTAGTGGGGGGTTCTGCTTCTAAGCTAGTAAAAAAGGCTAGTACCTTGCTTATCCAGCACTCGGTAACGTCCCCGAGTGCCAATTCCAGGTCGGCGACAAATGCATTATGACACAGCGTTCCCGGCCTCTTAACCACGGAGTTCCAAAATCTAAGTACAAGATTGGTCCAATGGAACTGGAGCGGCCTCTGTGACAGTTCATGGTATAGGGAAGCTATAGTTGGGCTCCGCCGCCCAACTACAGATCCCATGTACTCCACGTTGCTCCTGGACCATGGGATTAGTCATAGGGCCTTCAAAACTCACACTTATGAAGTCAGGTCCCCAAAATTGCGCTCCATAGGAAAACACCGGTGCAACGAGTGTATTATAGAGAGACATACATAGCTTGATGATAGTAATTTCCTTACCTCGACACAGAGTGCCGAGCCCGAACGTGAAACTGGGAATGTATATGTGTGTGTTATACCCTCCTGAGTTGCGTTACTCTCAAAAGGTGTAACCTAGGGACCATAAGGGGCCGGGGGCCAGTAGCCTAGGGCTATCCGATATGGATAAATAAACAAAAATATTATTGTACAAATACCGCTATTTATACCGCTATTTCCGCGGCTGCTTTTCCACACGTGTTTTTTGACTTAGCCTGCTGGGCTCCCGCCCGGGTGCCACCAGGCTCCCTTGGGTACGGGTATGTAGGGAGAGCTAGCCCTAGCAGTTCGCTGGGTTGACTGCCTAGATACCCTGAAGGGGATCCAAGGCGCTACAAGGGGCGTTGCACTCGCGGGTGGCCGCCTGCGTGTCATACCCCTTCCTCCGTTGCCCATATGTGTATCCGGGCATGTGCTGGCACCAAACCCAACCCACGTCTAACATACGTGCCATATCCCTTCCTCCGTACCCTTCCCATCATCGCAGCTCGGATATCCAACCGTACACCGGCCATGTCTTCGTGTCTTGGGACAGCCTTTCCTTCGACGGTGCCAACTCCATAACTTCGTATGACGACGGGCCCAACACCCTGCTACACGAGCTGTTCCACCACCTGGGTCTGCAACACCCCTTTCAAAACAGCTATGGCGCCCTCGGGCAGTGTGTTGATGGTGACGACGTGATCGACACCCCGGCCTCGCTGCGTGAGCTCGGGGGGGTTTGCATGGGAGCATGGGGCCCCCCTTAGCGTTCGGCTCCAAGGAGGATTGACAAAAGCAGGAATGCTCCCACAAACGTGTGGTGAAGGGTGGTGCAGGGATGGGATGCGTGTGTTTTGCGATTTACGATTTTGGAGAGGAACACGCAGCATTGGCGCTTTGTGGTTCCGGGGCGAAGCGCCTTATGAGCCCCCGTGGACGTGTGCTTCAACAAATTGAGTGATAACCATGTGTCAAGAATCATCGGGCTAAGGCTATGGCGCAAACGTGCCATGCATGTCCTCACACCGCACATGCATTGCACTACCAGGCAGCCATTGTGCTGCTCAGTGCCATGACAGTAACGACCCCGTATCAGCTGTGTAGCAAGAGTGCCGGGTAAGATGTCCTCTCCGCTTTCTCTCGCTAGTTTGCTAAGGCACACCTGTCGCAACCCGCCCGCTGCTGTTGTCCTACAGGTCCCATTAGCAGCAGCAACTTCTTCGCCACGGCTCAGGCCTACTGCATGGAGCTCTTCTGGGGGCAGTACGGCGGCGACTGGGACGCGGCATACGTTCGTTGGAGCAGCACGCTGGGCATTCCCGAATCCGACATGAACGCCTGGGCAGACAGTTGTCCAGCTTTGCCGGGGTACGACGAGCTGGGCAACTACATGACGTACAACACCCCCGTCTGCTTCGCAGCTCTGGGCCATTTCACGCCAGCGCAGGTGCAGCGGGCCATGCTAATGACCTCTGAGGTGAACCCCCTGTTGTACGCTTGGGGCCAGTACTATGCACAGAACGCCGCGCCTCCACCACCCCAGCGGTCGCCGCCTCCGGTGGTTGTGAACAACACGTGTAGGGTGAGTGAGTGCTCGAATGCATGGAGGCATGCGCTTGGCGCAAAGCAAGTAGCACGGCTTAGTAATCCACGCCCGCTGCTGCTGTATGAAGATGTCTCCCCTCCCCTAAAACAAAGAGAGGACATTACATACGGGAGTGTACAGCAACGCGGAATTTGTCTGTCTCGCGAGCTCAAACGACACCTTTCCCCTTGCTTTATCCTAGGAAATATAATGGCTTGCATGGAAAGAATGACGAAACTGGAGGAGAAGGGGCGGGCGTCATCCCCACGCATGCGCGCGTCTTATGTGCACATCCCACTTCCTTTAACTGCTGCGCTTTCACGTCACGTGTTAACACGAGCTTGCTTTTCCCTCCGGTGATGCGGCTGTAGTCCACTGCCAAGAGCGCCTGCCCCTGTAAGAGCGAATGGCAGCTTGGCGGCAACACCTACTTCTACTGCGACCGCACGGGAACCAACAACACCCTAACGTGAGTCACCGCGCTCCCTGGCTCTTATAAATGCTGCTTAAGGTGCTGTCGTCTGTCGCAGCAGGGGGCCGTCGGGGGCCCTTGACAAGTAGAAAGACCACCGTGTCAGCAACCGTGCAGAGTAGGAGACGCCCTTTAGCACCACTACTGCGTAGCCTAATGCATACGATTTAAGCCATAGCCCAGGTTGTCCTGCCATCCTAGGATTTCACCGTATCCGTGATTCATCCGACCACACGTAGATGCAGTGGGCTTGGGAATGGTTGCCACTAATAAACCAGAGTCGCCCCCTGCCCTGCACTTCTGAGGCGGCGGCGCATGCACGGCCGTCGATCAAGGGCTAGGGGAGTTAGCAAAGCGCAGCCATGGCACCTCTTAAGACACCTCTACCACCAACGACTCCCCCTCGCGAGCCGGCGTGGGGCCCAGGGCTCGCTTAATACGTGTGAAGAGCATGGCGTTACGTGATGAACGCGTGTATATGCACGTACCGTATGCATGTACCACGACTTTAGCGGGGATCATGGCTTACTTGAAAAAGGAACTATGCCTGAAGCACTTCACTGCTGCTGCTGCTGCTGCTGCGAGCGTCACAAGTAAATCGCTTGCCCAGAATAAACGTCTGTATGGGCACGTTTCTGTGTGTGTACGTGGTTGACTCCTGACTGGCTGTGACGCGCAGGTGTGAGGTTGCGGACCCGATTACGTGCGCGGACTGTACCTCCCAGTGGCAATGCATCCTCCCCTGTGCAGGTAAGGACCAGTGGCTCCGCCCAACAGTGCGGTGACCCTTGGCCTAAATCTGCGCGCATGCATCTGATATGTGACCGCATTTTCCTTTACAGCTCGAATTGAGTATTTTGGGCCTACCGTGACCTCGTTCTCCCTAGCAGCTCGACCATGAGATATTTATGCATTATTTATTAACCACTGCATGCCATGCCACACTCCACATCTTGTGAGGGTCATGCTCCGTTGTGCACCGTGGTCAGTTCACTTGTTCAGCGGCCAAAGCGTCGCCAAACCTGGCTTGGCATGGCATGGCCATACCACGCCTTCATCATCATGTTGTACACATAAGCCTGCGTCAACGCTTAATGCCGTGCGGTGTAGGCACTCCACGTATATGCAAGCGGCCCCCTGCATCACCAGCGAGGTTACCGCCACCACCGCCGCCCCGCCCGCCGTCGCCACCGCCGATGCCGCCACCGCCGCCGCCGCGTTCCGTTCCGTCAGAGTGCATGGTGCGGCAAATTCCTGCGTACAACAGGAATAGGACTGAACTGTTGGCGCGCATCGCTCGCTTTGTCCCCTGCATGGTTTACATGTTATGTTCTCGGAAGGACTCGAACGGCGCCACAAACGGAATCACCGAAAGGGTCGGGGAAGGGGAATGTGTGAGATCCAGTAACGCTCTGTGGAAGGACTCATACCGCGCAGGGCACCGAAGGACTTCGGGATCGCGAAAGCGCATGGATTTGCGATGGAATGATGTGCTTAACTGATGCATGATGGTTGCCCTATTGCCTCTCCCCGAACCAAGCACGTCCCCGCGGTTCCATATCCCCTGGCCCAAGCGGCCTTGCCTGCTCGTTTACTTGCTTACTTGCTTGCTTCCCGGCGTACGGCCGCAACCAAATGTCTCAATCTTTGTCATCACCACGTGGATATTCACTTTTGTCAGGTTTGTCCGTCCGTCTGTCTGTCCGCCACCGGGCCCGTGTGCGCGTGCCTGACGGGAGCCCTTGCGTGTGCGGCACAGTGCCCTCGCCTGTTGTATACAATTCCCTGCATGCCATGGCCTGCTCAGGTGCATACATAAACAGCTCCCTGCTGGCTGAGTGCGAATTTAATGCCCCGATGGCACATCACTCTGCCACCATGATGCGGTTCCTGGAGTGAACACCAGTAAAGCCCTTGCTTACTGGTGTTCCGAAAACGCAGAAATCCCGCACTGGCTGCGCTTGCCGGAGCACCTGGAACTACCAAGGTGCCTTTTACAGCTACTGTGCGTCACCGGACGGAAGCGAGAACTTATGGTGCGCCATGAAATGAATGGATTGGTCACATTTAGTTCAGTCGAAGCTCCGACGGAAGGGAAAGGATTACCCCTGATGCCGGCTGACGAACCTGTCGAGGTGTCGGTGTGTCTTGCCTGGCTCTGCGGCATCCCCATGCTGGCACAAGGCACATACTGTAGTAGTACGTGTCTTGCATGGGACCGACTGTTATGTTAATATCACCGCCTTGAAGCCGCCTCCGCATGCCCGTGCATCTGCATCGCGGGAGATGGCACTATGGTATTTCCACCTTTGTGGCCTGCCTCGCTGCAAGCTCGCATACTGCGTCACCTGCTACTGCTGCGGCTGCTGCTAACTGGCGTCCTCGCAGAAGTTGTAGCAAAGTTAGCCATGTATGCACGGCGCGATAAGAAGGGCACCTGGAACAAGCTTAAGGAGTCTTCTCAAGCTTCGTTTCATGTGCAGTACATCTTTCCATGCAAGCATCTTCATACAGTGTTTCATACAGCATGATGGCGGGTCACCTCGCCACCGTCCCATCCTGAGGGTGACATGGCTCCTGTCTCCTCTCCGCACCCCTTCTCACCGCATCGCAGGTGCCAGGTCAGCTCCAGCTGCCCCAGCTTCAGTAACAACCAATCCTACCAAAACTGCCTTCCCGGCCTCAACGAATCGTATTGCGGAGGTGGGTATGGATTCGTTGTCCGTGCCCGGTGATGGAGCAGGGCTGCGGACCTGGGACAGCTGCGTGGTGCACGTGCAGGCCGGATACAGCCCAGATAACAGACAGCGCCGTTGTATATGCTGTTATCTGCTGTCGCATTGAATAAAACGCGTCAATCAGAACACCTTCGAATTGCTCATTGTCTGGCTGCCTGCAGGCCGCGTCTATTTCAGCTCGACTCGTGTTCCGCCACGTCCACCGCGCCCACCGCTTCCTCCACCGGACCTGCGTCCCAGGCCGCCACCCGGGCCGCCTACGCCAACTGATGGTGAGGCAGAAGGCGCTTGCGACGAGTTGTGGCCTGGCCTGCACGCATGCCGCTATGTTGTCCATATTGTATGGGCCCCTTGTCTTATAGTGCGCTGGGGGCGCTAGGAGCCCCATTTCGAATTTTGCACGCGTTTTGTTTTGTTTAGCCTCTGGTAATCCCTGTACATCTTATACATACATACATACATACATACATACATACATACATACATACATACATACATACATACATACATACATACATACATACATACATACATACATACATACATACATACATACATACATACATACATACATACATACATACATACATACATACATACATACATACATACATACATACATACATACATACATACAGGCAGGCGGCTGGCAGAGGTTAAGGCCTGACTTCTGCTCCCAGTCGACCCAGTCGACCCGGGTTCAAATCCGCCTGCCGGCTCCTCGGGTGTTTGAGGAGTGATGAAATGGGAGGTGGCCCCCCATCTTATGGACGGTGTAGGACGTGATAATATCAACTTGCGAGCTGACCAGGAACTAAGTTGATGCGCCGTTGATCCGCTAGATTTGGTTGGATGCTGGTGGTGAGTTGCCGAACCCAACGAATACATTCTGAAGTCGGATGGGGTGACGGATTAGGGTGCCCCTCTAGCAGGGGAGAGCAGGGACTGCCCCGGGAAAGGGGGCCGCTGGCGAAGTTAACCACCCTGTAACAACATACATACATACATACATACATACATACATACATACATACATACATACATACATACATACATACATACATACATACATACATACACCCCCGACTCCGCAGGACCGATTGCGACCATCACCGGCCGAATCACCATCAACGCCAGCTGCGCTCTTCTAAGCACCAACGGATCGGCACTTCAGAGCAACCTACTTGCGGAGCTGTCGCAGACGCTTCAGGTCTGCATGCTTGCTGCTGCTTAATAGTCCTGAAGAGAAAGGTGACCAACTCTGCCATTCATTCTTCTTCGTTAAGATGCGCACCCCTGTCATAGCTTCCACAAGCCGACGCGCGTCTGATGCTATGGGCTGCAGGGAACGTGGCCAGAGAGCTTTACGATGTCCAGCGCAAGCTTGCCTTGTAGCTAGGTCTCAGAAGCATCAGGTTATTACGGAAGCGACTCAGGAGCCATATCGGAGTCCGCAAACTGACTGCTGAATGGCTTTGGTTGCGGCTGTTAGGGCCCCAAAGCACGCAGCTTCAAACAAGGCCGTCAGGCTTGCAAATGGTCTCTCCACCATTCCAGCGGAATATGCGCTCTGTAAGGTTTCTTGTTGACCGCACAATGCCGCGAGCGGGGTATTGATACTTGGGGTGCGTTTTGATACGAGCGCACTAACTGGCATAAACCTATTCCCTCCCACCTGTACATCTCACCTTGGCGACATACCTACAGGTTCCCTTGAGCTACGTCAAAATCACTGGCATGGCGTGTGGATCCATCCTCGCGTACTACAGTGTTGCATTCCCAACTGGCGCCACCATTGAACAGGTGAATGGCTATTGCCTGTATCCAGGTAATGATAATGCCATGCCGAGGCCGCATTGGCTGCCCGGGTACCGCACCATAATTGGGGTGCGGTTACTACTGCGGTAACCTGTGCGGACGTGTCGGGCCTCTGGTAGCGATGTATGCAAAATGTACTGCTCCAGCTTTTGATGGAGATGCGCTGTTGACCAGGACGCAACCTCGGTTCTGCTGGTTCATGGTGTACAGGTTGTTGCTTTCTCTTCAGTCATTGCGGCCAAATCCCAAGCAGGTTACTGACGTTCCTGTTTTGCATGTCCATGTCCTGCAGATCAACAGTGTCGCTCAAGCCGCAAGCGCTCTGAGCTTCACAGTCAGCATCGGCTTCGCTTCCCGCTGGGGCAGCGTCACCCAGTCCAGCTCGGATGTGAATGTCCTGCAGCCCTCGGCATGTAAGTCATGCACCCCTGCGTGCATAATGGCGGTGTTCCCATGTGACATCGCGATGCGCGTGCTGACAGTATTTATGTGTATGTGCTGACAGTATGTAATGACAGCTCATTTGCAGTCGCACATGGTGCAGTTCGTTCTTTGGTTTTGAGCATGTTCTGTTTTCTTGCCGTCATCACTAAGGATAATGAACGAGTTGAGGTGGGCTCCGTTGAGGATGATGGGCGAGTTACGTCGGTTTAGGTATTGCTTAGCCGTGTGCTGGCGAAGTTAGATAAGTGCGGCGCAGCATGCCGAAGGCGCTACAGCCTGCACGAGTGTTTCCAAGGGAGGTAGACTCCATCCCTTCCCGTTACCTTCCTGTCGCTTAAGCACCCCGTCACGCTGGATTCTCCTTGAGCCGTGTGCATGCCCCCCTACCATATTGCATCCTCCGCCAGTCTGCTCCGGCAGCGCCCAAGGCGCGGCGTACTGTCCGCCATCATCATCTCCCGTTCCCTCGGCGCCAGCTTCCACCAGTTCCTACAAGTGGATCGCAATTGGCGTCATTGTCGGTGTTGCGATATTGGCAATCGTCGCCGTACTGGTCGCCTTGGTCATTTATTCGCGCATCAAGAACGGCAGGGTCGCGCCCCAGGCGCAAGTCGCGCAGCAGCAGCAGCAGCAGCAGCAGCAGCAGCAGGGGCCTCGCGTTGTGCAGACAGCTTGGGGTGAAGCGAACCCGGCAAGCGGCCCCGCCACTTCGCCCCGCACCCGGATGAGAATCGCTGCAAATCAACCTTAAGCATCATTAACTAAATACCCCCATACGCATCCATATCGCCCACGAACACAGTACCTCATAACCGCAGCCTTCACAACCGCCCTATCGTGCCCGCAAGCGCAAGCCGCATTGGTTGACGCCACACCCGCGACGTTGCAGCACCCGTGACCGCAGCCGTGACTGCAGCGCCTTACGTGGTCATTCACTTGTGGGTTGGTAGGTGCGCGATCGACCAAAATCGATGCCAGGTAACGCACAAGGACGCTTTCCCATCAGTGCAGGATGGCTCTTAGGTGAGCCGATTTATATCTATGTGTGGCCGGGCCGCTTAGCCCCGCCTTACTAATTCTTCGGGAGCAGATAATCGCATCTCTCCCTTTCATGGGGAAATAGAACAAATGCGGTTGTGTCGGGAAAGCCACGCAGGATGCATGGGCGTAGGTTGACCGCCTATACGCCCTCTATGAGCTACCTAAGGTTCCCGGTGGGGGGATGGGGCATAAACATAGTATACTGACATACTGACCGTATCGGCCAGTAGCATGTCTCTCCCCCCACAATTAACAGACATCCATCAGAGGGGATAAAGCTGCCACAGGGCAGCCGCTTTACGAGAACCGTTGGAGCTTGAGTGTGGGGCACGTTTAATATATACGCAGCGATTATTCATTTATACAGTCCAACGGACCAAGAGGACATGTGTTTTTTCATTCGTAGGCATTGGTGAGTCTTGTAGATTATGCCATCTTCATTACGCCACCAGGACGTCCATGTCGTCGTGTCCTGTGTACGGCAAACACCTGCCTGGTAACAAGCTACGCTTCGAGTAAGGGCCTCGAGCAATGGCTGCCTACCTGGTTGCGTGTGTGTCGATGTTAGCTTCACCCCTACAGAGACGCATCGTTGCGTGTGTGTCCTCAGCGATGCATGGGATACGTGCGGTTGGTATGTTTGCGCGCGTTTGGACTTTCGCGGGTGAGAGTCCGCGTTGCGTAACGATATAAATTGAAGCGAAGTACTGTTTATTGAGGACAGCAGGCCGATGCATGGGTAATAACAGGGAAGTCCTCCCCTGAATGTTAAGGAAGGAGGTACTGAGGGGGCGGTATTTTTGTATATGTGCGGCAGCGCGCGCTTCGTTGATTCAGTTGGGCGGCAAATATTGCTCTGTGTTGTCGACGCGTAGTTGGATTGTCGTTGAAGGGGCGTGACGGTTGTAGGGATAGCTGGCTGGAGAGCCTCACAACGGACCTGCATTTGCGGACCGGCGTTAAGTCAGTGTCTGCGCAGGTCGCCTGGGGGTGAACTGGTTTGTTGTTGCTGACTAAGATATAGCACACCAGCAGATATCCGGTTACGTAGTTGGAAGTCCCATTTTCGCAGTGGTTGGTATACGTGGTCTGTGAAGATCTGAAGTTGTCTTGTTGGCGAATCAAGAAATGGCCTTAAAAACACGACTGCATGGTGAGGGCATTTTTAGGCGCATGCCCGTACGAAGGTTGGGAGCGGCGGCGGCGTCTCGGCGTCGGAATGTCTAGATCCTTCAAAGCAGCATTTTACGCGCGCACATGTGCTGTAAGCGTTCGGAAAAATGCAGATGTACGAGCATACGGTGTGAACGGAACGAAAATTAAGCCGCATTTGGAAAGGAGGGCGCACCAACCACCCAGCAGTATGCGTCATGCAAATGAGGCTTTCCATCAATGCATGGGTCCATGTGTCACTGCCGCAGGTCCTTCGCAGTATCCTGTTCGACGATACGGGACATCCCCAACAAACAACAGGCTTCTGATTCAGAAGTCTATGAACGCCAGCAGGGGCTCTCCCATGATGAACGCCAGCTCCCTCAGCATCAGCAAATGCGTTATAATTCGCTGAACCGGTCCATGCTGTCAAAGGATATCCTATTCACAGAGAACCCTCCGGCCCGTCAGTATTTTGGGGTTCTTGGGGTGGTAGAATGCTTTAAGGGGCGTCCGAGTGTGACCGCGGTTGGCTACATTTTTTCTTCCTGCTCCCTGGGCCCTGGTGCTCTCTGGGGGAAGGTCGTCTGGCAAATATCCCATTTGTTACAGATATTCCATTCTGAGAGATCCAGATTCCCAATCACTTTTTAGCTTGTTCTTTGTAATTGGCCTTAAGGCACCCGGTGGATGGGTGGGTGGGTTCGGAGCCACACGATTTTCCTTTTGGCCTTCGGTACAGCGTAATAACTAGTCGATAGATGTGGAGTCGAATGCTGGCTTTTTGAGGCTACATCACGAAGTACCAGGTGCGTACGGCAATGTATGTTAGGTCGGCTGGGCCGAACCCCCTGCTTGACATTCCGTTAGGGATGTAAGTATTTCTTACCGCCTTCCCTTAAGGAGTGCTGGGCCAGGGAGTGACTCTGCTTGCCTGGGATTTTCTAGGCTACGATGCACGATCCTTGATAAACCTTCGTACCTCTTTTCGCCGTACACAGCATTCGAATGCGGATAGCACCGATGATACGCATCTATAATGCATCTCACTAGGGGGATTGCACATTAGGGGTTTGGCCTACAAATTCGCCAATACCTAGCCCTTTTCCGGGCGGCTTCTTTTCACATGGTGCTCAATTGCGATGCTGTCGCGTGCCGCCTTTCAACCAACCATAGTAGTAGGAGGGTGCCGTGCACTGGCCGTTGGGAGCATGTGTGCAACTCGGGAATCCGTTCAGGAAGCTGTAAGGAATACCTTCATGGTACAGCTTAATCCAAATGCCAGCTTAATAATGAACAAACGTGTGTGCTTTACCAACGAAGGCCAAACGTTCAGACTTCACCTCGCAACGCAGCGAACCCACTAGTAAAACGTCAGCACGCGTTCTCCAGGCACATGGTTTCCCAGCCAGTCCCTTCCACAAATAACACATAAATGTTACCCTAAGTCTCGAACGTAAGCCAGGAGCTGCAAATGTACATTCGCGGACTTCATCGTAGCGCTCTTGCGGCTGCATTTCCCTTGGGGGAACAGCGTTCGTTAGCCACTTTAGCAACCCCACCGAACCACGGCAAACACCGATAGGCCCCTCACCTTGTTCCCCCTTCAAAAAGCGTCGCTACATCTCCAGCGCTGTCAAAGCGTGGTATCAAACACACAACCCATGCTGTTTGGCACTACGGCCACTCTGGCAGTCCTACTCCCCAGTCCCAGGCTGGTCATTCCTTAGCCTCTAGCTCATCATAAATGGCTTTCAACTCCTCCGGTACGCGTCCAGTGTGCAGCCCAAGCTGAACCTTGTACTCGTTGCGCATCAGCACAAGGTCATACGCCTCCTCTTCAATTAAGTTCAGGTCCTTGCAGACAGCCACAAGGCGGTCCTTCAATTCGGGACGTTCATTCAGCTTGTCTAGCATCCGCATCTCCACCTCCAGCTCCTCAGCTGCTCGCGGATTGGCCCAATACTTGATGTCGAAGGCCTCCAGCGGCTTTGCATTGTAGATCAGGAAAATGCCCACGGCTGTCCCACCATATCCAATGTACCTGGTATTTTCAAGCAAGCACAGCAGCTTTGTTATGCTGAAAGGGAGAGGTGCATGCCGGGACAACCAAACAAATCCGTCATACGAAAACAACATGCTATGTTGTAAGGCAGACAATATCAAGGTGGCCTAACCAGTTGAACTCAGCTTACCACCAGGGCTCCCACCACAATGCCTTGCGCATTTGCCCAGGCGCCGGAGGCAGCTCGCCAAACAGGAATCCATTGTGCCCTGTCTGCGTTCCCTCAGACCAAAAGCTGCCCCCTGGATATTCACCTCCGCCACCTCGAGTCCGGGGGTTCCGAAGGAGCTGTGCGCCTGCTCGGCGAGCTAGTCCACGCAATAGGTTTGACATGCTTTAGGTTGAGTGCAAGGGGTGCAAGTTGCCTTCAGTTTCTATAAAAAGCTTCTAACTGTGGCCTGTACCCCGCTTTACCAGGGGCTTAACGAGCAGGGGCTCTATCCTGTGTGTCCTACAGCTGCAGCTTATCCTATCAAGTGTCAGAGATGGACAATAGAGCCTAGTGTGCACGTCCTTTTGCCGATTGCTCGTCCATCAGTACGGTCTTGTGCGCGTTGCCTACTTGTTCCTCCAACCCTTTCAAATATGTAATTGCTACTAAAGGTGGTTACGTTCTTATTCCATCCTTAACGAAATCCGGTCATTATGCAGCTGTGCACCCGTGTTCGCGACAGCTTGACGGCACGGCCGGCCGGCAAGGCCCGCACCGCTGCAGTCCGTAGCCGCTCTATTATCTTGCGTGTGCGTGCCGAGGCTGTGAGCGCACCTCCAGCACCGGCCGAGTCTGATGCAGACGCAGCTTCGGAGTTCGCTCGGCTGCAGAAGGGGAATGCGGTATGTCGGCGTCGGAACACCTGCCCTAGCATAAGATTTCGGCTCCAGTTTACTGTAGCATATTAAATTCAGTTTTATTAAGTTTTGATGTGTCACCAGAGGCGATGCTTTGCTCACTTCCGGCTTCGCAATTCGCTAACAGTTCGAGGAGTTGAAGGCCCTTGCTTCATCGCCCAGGCAATCTGTGAATCGTCCCCAGAAGGTGTGTTACGTGCCGATGCTACCTTCCGGGACCGAAGACGCCGTTATAACGCTCTCAACTTCAGCCGGTGACCTTCCTTGGACCCCTTGGTAATTTGCCTTGCCCCCACTGTACATGTTGATTATACGTTCATTTCTTTGGTTGTTTCTGCGTCCTTTCGGGTTTGATCGTGTTGTCAAGTTTGCTCGGCGGCTGGGATACCTGAGCTACCTGAGTTGAGCGGCGCGCTGCATGACATTATGATACTATTTAGTCGCCATGCATGTTGCATAGCTGTTGAACCAGCCCTGTTTTGTGTCCGACTATCCGCCCTTACCTCCTTGCTTTCGGCCGCACAGAACGACGACTTGACTTTCAGGCAAGCCCCGACCATCGAGGACTGTTTCCCTGACAGCGAGAAGATGTACAAGGCCGTCCAGTACGACGATGAGGTCACGCTGCAGGTTGGTTCGCAGCCTGCTCAATTGCAGTACTGCACGTCTTCGCGCCATCCACATGTCCTGCAAACTCCCGCACGCCTGGTTCCATCCGAGGAATCCGTCACTCGAAGTAGAAAGTGCCGGGTTGTGTGTGTGTGTGTGTCGCGGCTTGTAAAACAGTTGCGCAAACATGGGAGTTGTAGCACGGCCGGGGCGGGATGGGCGTTGATCTTGGGCGATCCAGTCGCATACCGGATGGCGCTCGCAGCAATGAACCCGTCTTATCTCTCCCCTCCCAACTAGTGTCTTAATTTTTGCCATAACTGGCCCTCGTCTTCGCCCACATCCAAGAACTGGACGTCATTTCAATTTCTGGTGTTTATGCTCCTGTCGCTGCAGGTACCCTTCCGCCGTATCCACCTGAGCAACGGAACCGACTTCGACGTGTACGACACCAGCGGCCCTCGGGTGTGTGTTTCATAAAGGGGAGGCTTCAACCCGGGACCGCGTGCTTAGGCCGCTGGCATGTGTACGACTTTGTAAACAGTCCAAGTGCACAGATGCACGTGCGCATATCCGCAACCCCGGTGTGTCATGCGAATACACATTTGGGCCCCACGATGGGCCACGATGCTGCGGGGAGAACTCAGGGCCCCCACACCACCCGCACATCGGCCCTGCCTGTCATTATGCGCCACTCACCTGCGCCGCTTCGCCTTATTGCTTGTCCCAGCATTCATGAACACCACCTTACGGTGTAATATAGGTGTACCACCTGCTGCTGTTGTATAGGTGTAATATTCCATGTTATGCACCTATTACACCACTAATGAACTAAGATACATTCGCAGGTCAGTAGCGAATATATCTGACCTGAAAATATTGTCCCTGATGACAAATCGTGCAAACGAGGTCTTTTCACATTGTGGCCATGGTGTGTCGGTGGTGATGGGCGCCACTGCTGCTGTTGCTGCAGGTGGCCGATCCCCGCCAGGGCCTGCCCAAGCTTCGTCAGCCCTGGATTGCCCGGCGTGAGGCCAAGGGCATCACCGCTAAGGCCGGTGTGACCCAGATGGCGCTGGCCCGGGCGGGCATCATCAGCGAGGAGATGGCATTTGCGGCCGCGCGCGAGGGACTGGACCCCGAGTACGTGCGCTCCGAGGTGGGTCGACGGATGGGTGGGTGGGTGGGGACCAGCCTCCTTTATAATGAAATGAAGCGAGCGAAGCGTCCAGGCCCCCTCCAGATAGTGGAATATGGGTTGCTTCCGCATGATTGGTTTTGATTGTGGTTTGTTGTGCCTTTCTTTTTTCCTATTGGTAGAAATGGGGTGCTGTGTGCGGTTCTGTGTGTATGAACGGCAAGCCACGCTTGCATGCTTGAGTTTGCTTCGCTTTTGGGAGCAGCCGCGGCTGCGAGATATCAACCATCCAACAAGGAAGATATTTCCTCCTTGCTTTTACACGCAGGTCGCTCGGGGTCGCGCCATCATCCCGGCCAACAAGCGCCATATGGAGCTGGAGCCATGCGTCATCGGTGAGTAGAGAGCAGTGAAGTAGACCCGCGTGAAGGCGGTTTTGGTGCTGAAAAGGTGACTGGAAGTTCATTTGGAGGGCGCAGTTCTGATCTTATCCCATTCGTACTTGTTGTGATTGCTGCCCAGATAGTCGCTGAATCCGTTATCTTTGTTTGTTGTACTTTTTTCTTTCCACCTGGGCGCCCGGAACAAAATAGAAAAGGTGAAAATTTCTTTTTTCACCAAAATGGGGGAATTGTGCTTTTAACCGTTTCCGCTACCACTTCGCTAACCAGCGGATGCCACGGACTACTCGGGGCCCTAGGGGTGCGCGGAGCAGGCCCGCCGCTGCTGTACAGCACATGTACGGCGGCGGCGACCTGTCCGAGCTGAGAACACACCCTCATTACTGGACCAGGTTAGGACCTGCGTCAGGAAGCGGACCCGTGGGGTGCCGGGCGTGTCGCATGTGTTTTGTGTGTTTTCCCCCCGCCCTTTTCCCGCCATGGCCCCGCTGCTCCCACGGCTGGCGCTGTGTACGGCGAAACCTATTTTTGGGTCGCGGCGGACGGCGGCGGCCGTGGCGGAGTGTACCCCTGGAAGCACATTACTCGCGAGACACGTGGGGGCGGGGGGGCCCCGGGGCAGCCCGCAGCTGAGTCCGGTTGACCCTCACGTCGCGGTTGAACGGACGAACGCGTTCCAGGGACATTTCGCAACTAAACACTCGCACGATAGCGGCACGATAGCTACAAGGGCGTAACCCTTAAGGCGAGATAGACGTGGTAGTGCATGTGTATTTTGGGCGTTTTAGGGAGCTGCATGGCGGTGCACTTTTCGGGGTGGGGGCATTGTGACGGAAGTGCAGCGCCGGGCACTTTGAGGAAGACTAGAGGCCCCCTGACTAGGGTGCAGTAGGCACTTCGCAGCTGCAGGTGGCGACAGTGGCAGCATCGGCACACACAAAGAATCGACGTCGCAGGATATATATCTGATACCGCAACAAGTTAGACGGAGACTTTCTTTCCAGCAGCAGCCATGTTTGCAAGCTTAATACGCTAGAAAAATCGTTTAATCACTTTGAAGTAGCCAAACAAAATATCTTAAATTCTGAAGTAAAACACAAACTTGAATTCCAGGTCAGTCACCAGCGTAACCCGCCACCAGCTGAACCAGGGAAATGAGCAGCGACGGAGGGGCGGCTGGTGGCGATACGATGAAGCACATCTTATCAAAACATGAGGTTGCGCAACTGCCCTGGGCACGCCTGCGCCTTCTTCTTCTTGGTTCGATGACGCTTGTGAGGGCGACCAGGGACTGCTTGGCCGCGTGGCTTCCAGATATATAGCTTCTAAGATATGGGGTTGCAGTAGGAGTGCTGATTAATAAATGCTGATACGGTAATGAATAAGACAGGAAAGACAGGACGGGTCCTCGTGGGTTATTGCCTTGAAGGATGCGGAGAGGCATCAATCCGACTTGTTCATCTTCCCCTCGCTCTTCCTGAATCCCATCCTTGTTCTTAACTGCCCGCTCCTGTTCCTCTCCTCCTCCCCCTGTCGTGTGCCTGGGTTGCCTCCACCGCCACTGTCGCGGTGCTGTGCTCCGCCTTGGCCCTCCGACATCATTGCGCGGCTTTGTCTTTGTGTGTGTGCGTGTGTGAATATACTTGTGTGCACATGCTGGCGGCATGGCTTGGCTCGGGATCTGTCCCCGCAGGCCGCAACTTCCTGACCAAGGTCAACGCCAACTTCGGCAACTCGGCAGTCACCAGCTCCATCGAGGAGGTGCGTGTGGGCCCTCCTTCATGAAGCTGCGGTCCTCTGGGGGGGGGGACCGGGGGACGTTCACAGAGGGGTCGCATTGGGAAGGTTGTGTTTCGTGGAGTGTGTGAAGAGACTCGGGGTGTTGTCCGGGCAGTTGAGGTTTGTGGCTTTGGAAGAAAGGTGACGAGGTGGACCACGGGGTCCGTTAGGGGGATTCCTCTCGGGGCGGTCTCCTGGGGTGTTGGTGGTGGTTTTGGGGCCAGGATTAGGCGCTGCAAGTGGGACGTGGTTGTGATGGGGCTGTCCATGTGATGCGGAGGTGTATCTGCTGATCTAAGTTCTGGTCTGGTCACGGGGCTGGAGCGGGCGTTGTAGTGGTGGTTTTTTGTGGTGATGGTCGTTGTCGTCGCCGTCGTTGGGGGGCTGGTCCTCTACACACCGCTACCACCACTGGTATCACCCCTGACTATTTATTTCTACAGGGTGGTGGGGAATTCCGCAACGGTGGGTACGCTGCACCTCACTCGCATGCATTTCACTTCAACCCGCCACTCAGTTCCCCCATGCAAACCCCTTCCGGTGTGGGCCACTAACAGTCCACAATCCATGTTTTAGAGCTCGTTTTTGTGAATTGCTTATCCCCGCCGGCTCCTCGCTCACCTCTCCCCCATCCCCTACACCCCCACCCCCACACGCACATCCCCACAGGAGGTTGAGAAGCTGCAGTGGAGCACCATTTGGGGTGCGGACACGGTCATGGACCTGTCCACGGGTCACAACATCTACGAGACTCGCGAGTGGGTGATGCGCAACAGCCCCGTGCCGGTGGGCACCGTGCCCATCTACGAGGCGCTGGAGAGGGCGGGTGCGTGGGGGGGGGACTGGAAGGGAGGGGTGACCGCCGGGGTAGAAGATGATGGGGTTTTGTTGGTTAAGCTGGGGCAGTATGGTGTGTAGGACACGATGCAGGGGACTAACTGTTTACGTGGGGTAGGTTGGGGATGAGGGTGGTTATGTTGGAGCTTCCACACCTTCGCCATCCTTCCGCCATAGGTGCGGGGCCCCTTTTCCTTGCACCTCCCGCAATCACACACACGCACAAACACACACACTGCTTCGGAGTCCTCGGGGCAGCAGCACCAGCAGCACCAGCAGCACCAGCAGCAGCGGCAACTGGTGTGCTTTGGACGTGCGTCGGCAGTAGACCCGCCCTGGTCCCCCTTGCACTCAGTGATGATTACCCCCCGGTTTCCCCACCCTATCGGCTGCCCAGATGGACGTGTGGAGGGCATCACTTGGGAGCTGTTCCGTCAGGTGCTGCTGGACCAGGCAGAGCAGGTGTGTGTTGAAGGGTAGGAGGGGGAAGTGTGTGTAATGTGTCCTAAGTTGCAGGGAGTTTAAGGTAAGGAAAGGGCCGGGACGAGGTGAAGCTACTGGTGTCTCAGGGTAAGGGGCAGGGAGGAAGGGGGGGCATCGTTGACGGAGGATGTCAAAGAATGGAATATCCTGCTCGTCTGTGGTCTGGGATATCATGAGATAGGGTGGGGTGGGCGGTGGGGGAATAGACTAGACAATGCCCGAAACTCTCCGCCCCTCTCCCTCAAGCCCACTCGCCTTGCTCCCCGCCTCTCCCCAATCCTCCCGCCCCTTCCTCCTCCCTTCACCCCCTCGCCTCCTCGTGCTGGTCAGGGTGTCGACTACTGGACCATCCACGCGGGTGTGTTGCTGCGCCATGTGCCCCTGACAGCCAACCGGGTCACCGGTATCGTGTCGCGAGGGGGCTCCATTCATGCCAAGCTGTGTCTGATGGAGCACAAGTGAGGATTTTTGGGGTGGAAGGGAGGGGGAGGAAAGGGGAGTGAGGAGGAGGGAGCTGAAAGGGCCGCTTGAGAATTGCCGCTTTCGCCGTATTGCTCGTAATTGCTGCAGTACCAGGGGTCATAATTCTTTAAGTATTCCCTTTGCTTATCCCTCCACTCGCTTTCGTGCTCTCGCACTCTCCGTCACCCTTCACGTGTACCAACCGCGGCTGCCCTATCTTAGGGAGAATTTCGCGTACGAGCACTGGGATGAGATTCTGGACATCTGCGCCAAGTACGACATTACGTTGTCCATTGGTGACGGTCTGCGCCCGGGTTGCATCGCCGGTGAGCCGTTCCGGGTTGCCCTCCTGTCCGCATTCCTGTCTGTCTGTACTTACGTCCTTTGCTTAATTAACCTCCACCCTCATTATTACCAACCCTCTCATTTCCCCCACCAATACCACACACCACGACACCAAGGCCACTTGTCCAAACCCCTTTCTTAACTACCTAACCAACCTCCCCCAAAAACAACACCCATTGGTTCCTCGCCGTACAGACGCCAACGACGCCGCCCAGTTTGCCGAGCTGAAGACCCAGGGCGATCTGACTCGCCGTGCCTGGGAGAAGAACGTGCAGGTCATGAACGAGGGCCCCGGCCACGTGCCGCTGAACAAGATCCCGGAGAACATGGCCAAGCAGCTCGAGTGGTGCTCCGAGGCGCCCTTCTACACGCTGGGTCCGCTGGCTACCGACATCGCACCCGGGTACGACCACATCACCTCGGCCATTGGCGCCGCCACCATTGGCGCGCTGGGTGAGTAGCTGACTGACGGACGGACTGGCCCAATGGGAAGGTGACGGAGTTAGTGGGGCCCGATTAGTTGGGAAGAGGTGGGGAGAGGCGCCGGGGAACTAGGCTGTCTGTGAATGCGTTCTGTTCATTGGGTGAAACGGTGGTGAGATGGTGGATGGATGGTGGGGACCAGGACGACACGAGGAGGAAGAAGAATATTTGAGGTACTTGCGCCGCCCTTCCGTTTAGCTGCTGCTGCTGTTGTCGTACATTTCACGAAATCATGCGCCGTCTTATTGTTTTGGTCCCTGTGCGCCGAGCTAGCCCCTTTGCTGGGCGCATCTTTGACGCCATGGCGCGGCTCCCAACCACCCTTGACCCCCCCTTGACCCCCCTCCAGGTACCGCTCTGCTGTGCTACGTGACGCCTAAGGAGCACCTGGGGCTGCCCAACCGCGATGACGTCAAGGTCAGTACGGCAGCTCAATACCACACGCTCACGGAGCATGCCTGCCAGCCAGCCACTGGCACGGAGCTCCCTTGTGGGGATGACTACACACCTGTGGCTGCCTGGAGTGGGCTGGTCTGGTCTGGGCACCCCTCTTCCTCTTTCTCTCCTGTCTCTTCCTGCACCTGTTGCCCACATGTGGCCCTGACGGCGGTCTGGGGGCCACAGCTGGGGCACCGATCGGAGTAGTGCAGACGTTTCGGCGCAAAGGTTCGGAGAGCTCCTCCCTCCCACAGCTCCTCCCATGTAGTGCCATCATCCTAAGCTGCCCGACCGTGCCCACCCGCACCCCCACCACCTCCTATTCCACCTCGGCAGCTGAACCCCCCATTCCTCACTGTATTTGATGCCCTCCCGGGAATCCACCCAACCCCCAGGCCGGTGTTATTGCCTACAAGATCGCCGCCCACGCTGCCGACCTGGCTAAGGGCCACCCCGCCGCTGCCGCCTGGGACGCTGAGCTGTCGAAGGCGCGATTTGAGTTCCGCTGGTGGGTAACGTCGGGAGAGCGGGAGGAACCGGGGCCGGGTGGCAAGAGGGGCTTGGCGGGAGATGTTGGACCAGTGGGGAAGATTGTTGCTGTAGGGATTCGGCGTGAGAAGCTTGTGGTGGGGTGCTGGCGGGCTGGCTGGGTATCGCAGTTGTAGCGGGGGGCCCCGGTGTGTGTGTGTGTTGCTGGACAGAAGCAAGGGTAGAGGGGTATGATGCTATGGAATCGTTTCGGCTACCGTACCCAGGACCCTTGTGACCTTTCACCTCACTGTGCAGCCGCATTTGGATTCTCGTATGTGAAGAAGTGGGACTGTCGCAAGCGGGGCAACTTAAAAGTGCTTCCCGCTTTCTGCTCTTGTGTGCGATCATACGGCACAGGTACGACCAGTTCGCACTGTCGCTGGACCCGGTGACTGCCCGCGCCTACCACGACGCCACATTGCCGCAGGTAAGCGTGTTTATCTCTACGTCTGTCTGTTTGTCTGTCTGTTTGCCTGTCTGTTTGTCTGTCTGTTTGCCTGTTTGTCTGTCTGTCTATTTGCCTGTCTGTTTGTCTGTCTGTGTGAGTTCGTCCACCTGAATGGAAGGAAAAGTGGTTCAGATAAGATAGGATGATGACGGCCCTGATAGATAAGAGTTGTGATGAGGATCCCGATAAAGGGAGAGACTTGCTGGTGGTCCTGATAAACTGATAAACTGAAACGGCTCTGGCTCGCTCGCACTCCAGGAGCCCGCTAAGACAGCTCACTTCTGCTCCATGTGCGGTCCCAAGTTCTGCTCCATGAACATCACCCAGGTGAGCCGGCGGCAGTGTCCATGCGTGTGAGTATGTCTGTATGTATGCTCTGAGGGACCTGGAGTATTAAATCTCACTAGGGAGTGGTCGTCTCGCCAGGGGTTCAGCAATGAAGGAGTTCCGAAATATTTCCTGATGGGGCGCTCTCCTCTGCGGGCCCTCTCCCCTCCTCCCTCACGTCGCCCTCCCGTTCTCCTTCCTCGGCTGGACGCTACAGGAGCTGCGTACTCTCGCCCAGAACGAGGCAGCTGCGCACACCGAATCCTCAGTGGGCGACCTGGGTGATGCAGACCTGATCGCCGCAGCCCAGGAGGGCATGAAGACCATGAGCGACGAGTTCAAGCGACGAGGCGCGGAGCTGTACCACTGAGCCGCTGTACCTTGAACTCTGGGGGTTTGATTGGCTTTTGTTGGGCGGTCGGTTGGGCGGTCTGAACAGAAAGTGGCAGGAGGGGAAGGGGGACGCAGAGACGGAGTATTATTCTCTATGTCTCCCCCCCCTTATGTCGTCCCCCACCGGGTTCTCACTCTTATCCTCCTCGCCCGCGGCCTGCTGCTGGTCGTCGTCGTTATGAACCTTTCCTCCGTGCCCCCAGCTAACCGTGTCCTTCAGCTAACCGTGTCCTTGGAGCGTTAGCCGTAGAAACGTCCGCAGTACCGCTTGAAGCAGTGAGACAGTCGGGCAGCAACGGCGGTGGTGATGGTGGTATTGCTGGTGCTGTCGGTAAGGAAAACGAGCATGTGTGCTCCTGTTTCCCCACGCGTGAAGTAAACCCCTGAAAGTACCAACTCCTCCGGCCGCGTTATGGCACGCATCACGTACTCCACGATATGTGCTTTCCTTCCGCCGTTGTGGTCCCTTGACGACAAGGGGGGCAACCGGAAGGCTGAGAATGTGATGTCATATGCGTCGTATGTGTGAAGGGGCGTGTAAGGGTAATAAGTACGTCATGGTAGGCGCATCGTGGTAGGAGCTGTGGAGGGGCTCCCACGTTGCGGTTGCACCCCACGTCGTTTTATTTAACGTAACGCTTTGTAGGGGGCGGCGCTAGTGGGTGCGGCGGCCTCACTGCGTGAACCTAAGGCACAGCCACGCTCTAGCTGCTTTCCCACTTGCCTTGGTCGGTTGTTTCCGGAACACATATATGTGTTCGAGGTGCGCGGCGTCGGGAGGTGTAGATTAGGTGGGGACTCTGGGTGTTGAAAAGACGAACGGAATTTTCCTACGAAGGAGGCGCGGAATTGTTGGGGACTGCGTCTTCTTACGTGTTGCGAGTTGGATGCGACTTTGTTTAGTTGACGCTGGAAAAGAAGATTCTGATTGGAGAACATCCTAAGGTTGCGATCTCGATCATATGCAGTGCTGCAGTGTATATGGGAAGGGCTGTTGTCCGCATCCAACTAAATGATATCAATACAGTATTTGTTGTGGTAGTCGTACGGCTATGTCCTCAGGTTTTGGGCATTCGGGTTCCCATTGTTCCCACCGGCGCCTTGTTGGAGACTTTTTCTGGGCACGCGCCGTGCCCGCTTGACTCTCATTTGATGCTTGAAGGCGCGTGGGCCCTAAATTAGAGCCAAATAGTGTATCGTCTGCGCTGCAACGGTGTCTCCCCTCGGGCACCCATCCACAGAGTCTTGATGGCGTGAAGAGGACAATAGGGGGCCGAGCGGAAGGATATGCCGTAGCCCTTGTTTCTTTTTTTGGACCTGCAAAGCGGTGGAGCGAGTTCGTCTTGGGCAATTCAATTTTGGGTCATGTCCGCGCACCGCGTCGCACACGTGTGGTTGTCGAATAATGGGCGCACATGTTCCCCGAGGGGCCTTTGACTCGGTGGTCAAGACCACCTCCTTGGTTGTTACTTCAGAAATGTTCACACGTTTTTCCTACACGCTTCGCAATTCCGCTGCTCTCGTTACCTGTATAAGATCCCGGTGTCAAGCTGCTACAGCCGAATTAGCTGATGAGCGATACATCGAGGGGGCCACTTATGCCTAAAAGTTCACATCCAGAATAAAATTATTCTTTTGTCCTAAAAAGTGCAGCGCAACAACATCGAGCAGGTTAATTGCCGCGGTTCGAAAGATGAGGGCCTCCCCTGCGAGCTCCTTGAGCGACACGTTCTCCTGTCGACGCACAGTCCGTGTCTGTCCGTTCGCCAGTACTAGAACCGCGCAACGGCTCCGGCCGGAAGGTCTGTTGTACAGAAAAGGAAACCACCTGTCAGAACGTGTGTGATTTATCCAATCACACATTACCATCAGCTCCCCTGGGGATTCGCTGTCATACCATGTTCCCACTACAATCATCACAAAAGAGAACCTTTGCGGCAAAAGAGCTCTTTTTTACAGATCAATCCTGCGCCAGATCCTCGGCGCACGCAGGCTTCATGCAAATGCTTCATCGTAAACCTTATATACGAAAAGTTATAGGGAGTATTACTAGATATTACTCCGGTATCCTGGTCGTCTTTTCCCGCGGAATCTTCCTCTGGCTCGGATTACTTCGGAGTGACGAACCCGAAAGTGGTTCAAGCCACATGGACATGCACAAGACTATCGTGGCTTGCCGCAGTGTCCGCAGGTCAGAGTCGGCGTTCCGCGTCCCTTTGCCCCGTTCCTCATATCATATCCACCTTGAAGTCCCAACTCCTTTTTTCGGTTACTCCTCCTCCTCCCCTAACCCTCACCCGTTAACCGTCCTCCCCGTCCCCTTGTTTCCCTTAGCCTTGTCCTTCCCGTCGACGGCAGCCTCCCCGCCCCCAAACCCGCTACTGCCGGTCCACCAGCAGCTCCAGGGAGGGTGAGTCCTCGCCAATCACCCGGAACAGCAGGTCAATGTTGGGGTGAGCGCCGGGGCGCTGACGGGCGTCTTGTACGATATCTTCGCCATACAGTTTCAGTCCCTCCTGCGCCGCCTGCATGCATGTGGATGGGCGGTATGCGGGGTTTGCATATGTGTAAGGCCAGAAGCTTGGTATGCACTTGAGGTCGCAATGCATCAAGAGAGGTGAAGGGTAGGACGGGTGACGCGATGGTGAGCGTGTCCCGGAGCCCCAACCACCCAGTTCTGCCCTACCTCTATTGAAAGCTTGCCGCCAAAGTTTTCCGCAAGGTGGGTGAAGATCGCGATGGACAGCCTGGAATTTGAATGTGTCGATGGAAAAGGGGATGGCGAAGGCGGGAGTTGGGCGGGACTTGGGGCCAAAAGTTGTGAGTAAGGCCCTAAAAAGGACGGGAACCGGTGCAGCGGCCGCGGAGAGAAAGGCTGCTGACATAACCATAAGGTTGTTGCCAATGTTAGATGAAGCCCTGGTGACGCATATCTGCTTGCCATGAATGCGGGTGGGCTTTATTTCGCGCTGTTAGGAGTAGAAGGCGACGTTGCGGGAAGACAGGTTGGATAGGACCCGCACCTTTTGCCCTCAACATTTTCGATGCTCCATTGTAGCTCTGGAATGCGCACGCGAGCCACATCTGTCCTCGGGGGCAGCTGCGGGCGTGCTGAGGCCTTCGGGACCGTCCGGCTACTGCGAGCGGCTGGCGCTGCGCTGGATTGACGCCGCACGGCTGACCTGCACAACATTATCTATAATCCAACTGAATTTTCTTCGTAACTGGCTGGACACAGGGCATAGCGAGAAGACGCTTTCATTTTGTTGTCGTACGGAGCAGGCTGTCTTGATGGACAAGAAATCCGCATATTTGACAAGGGAGCTCCACGCTGGTCAATAAACATTGCATTTAAATCATTATCAATTATTTAACTCTAGGCAAAAGCGCCGGTGCGCCTTTGCCGGCATACCGTCAAAGCATTCTTACGCACATGGCGTTCGGAGAAACGTGACCGCTCGAACCACTCCTATCTCCTCGTATCAGTTACTACGATGTATGGCGAACTGGCTTTGCTGAATAGGGTAGCCCGTCCGCCCCCGTGCCAGGCAGTGGACAAGAGCCCATTTCCTCCGAAACCATGTGCCCAACGCTCAGTTAATACTTTTCGCACGTCCGCCCGCCGCCACCAGCACCCCCACGTACAGTGTGCTTTCAACCATAGCTTCAACCCCTCCGTCGCAAGGCAGCGCGCAGCAAATGCTTTCTCCGGTCCATTTGCGAATAGAAGGCCGGAGCCCGGGGTACCTATGTCCCGGAGCCCGAAGCCACTTACAAGTACTGATGCCAACATTCTTGCGCTGTGAGTCCGTTAGCCTCCAGGTATACAACATCTTTGCTGGGGGCATGTGCATAGCGAGGCCGTGGGCGGCCTGGGCGGGCACGCGCTGCTCGACAACACACTTGTAAGCTCAGGTCCCCGTCTGAACCTGGGCCTACCTGGGCATATCTCGGGTTCGACATCCACGCTAGCTCTCCCTGGCCTGACCCAGGGCTCTCCTTGTGTATCCCTCCTTTTCCTCAATCAAAAGTCATCCAACAAAAGAAATGCGGTACACCCTTCCTGTTACGGCAGATGTACACTGCCACGACTCTTCTCCATTCCTCCAGTTCGCCCCCCAAATCCCCATCCCGTCCCATCCCTCCCTGGATTGTCTAACCAACTGAAGCAGAAACATATCCTTTTGCATTCCTCCTCTTAACCATCTCGGTCATCTCGGTGCGCGCTGCTGGGCTGGCTTGGCGCTGTCTGGGTCTTTGGAACACCCTGTACGGCAGGGAGACGGTGATGTTGTGGAACCTGCGAACTTGCCGGAGGCTTGCGGACGTGCAGCCCGTGGCGCTGACGGCCGAGCTGTCTCAAAGGTAGGTGAAGGCCGCCTGGGTGGTGGTTAGGTGGGTGAATGCTGAAACGGTGGGGAGTGGGACGAGGGGGAGCGGGAGGCTAGGTTTTTTTTTCCATTGGACCGCCCTATTGGCCGTCCGCCTCACCTTCCATCACTACGCCCTCTCCTCCACCCGGAGGGGGCGGATTGGGCCCTTGGTTGGGCGGCGGTGCGGTGCGGGTCAGGACCGCCTTCCGGCGCGGTTCCCGGCTGCCTGCCCCTTCACGAAGAAGGTCTCTCCGTTCTGTTGCTGACAGCGCAAAACATCTCAGCTCATTGGCGAGGATGATGAAAAGAGAGAGAGAGAAAGAGAGAGAGAGAGAGAGAGAGAGAGAGAGAGAGAGAAAGGGAGAGAGGGTTTGTGTGTGTATGTGTGTGCCTCTCTCTATGTGTGCACACATGCTTTCATGTGTGTGGGCCGTGGCGCCGGCCGCCTCCTCTCCTCAATGCAGGATCTGCGAAGCCGCTGCTGCTACAGTCGCCCATGTAGAGCGACTGAATGCAGTGCCTCCGTCACCCGTGCCGGCGACACGGGGGCCCGACAGCTCCTCAATTACCACTGCAGCCACCGTCCCAGGAGTACTCTGCCCCTGGCTTGCAAGTACGACCGCTGTACGGCAATTGCTGTCGCAAGGTTTCAAGGTAAGTGGTCACCCTGTGTGCGAACATGCAGGTCGCACATGCACACGTCTTGCCTTGCTTCAATGCAGCTCAATGTGACGACCGGGAGGCAGGAAGCTGGTCCGCTCGATCTTCACCTGCTTTTCCTTTTCCGCCGTGTGTCAGTGCCGTCACGTGGATGTCGCCGTTATCGTCCCTCTCGCATTGCCCTTTGCCCCCTGGGGCTTCCAGCTTTGCTTTGACGTTTGCACCAAGTACCAGATACTGCGCGTTCTTTACGTAACATATTGACGTTTATGTATTGTGGACATGTTTGCGCCATGCGCGTGTATGAATGTACGGATGTATATTCTCGTATGTGGATGGCTGCTGTATGGCCGTACAGGTTGTGGCTGTGGAGTGCCAGTCCGCTGCGGTGGAGCGAGCCTGCGCAGAACTGGGACTGGGTGCGGAGGAGAGGGGGTACGTCTGGGATCGCGGTCACAACCAGCATCGCTGATGTGGGAGGAAAACTGGAGAGACACACACACAAATGCACACACCTGCTGGTGTGCCATCCTCGCCAGTCTCTGCCCGCGTCTCCGATGATTTAAACATATAACCTGAAACGCACACACACATACGTACATACATGTACATACATGCATACTTACATACATGCTTACATACAAACACACACACACATGTATAGACGTCACAACACGCATCAAGGAAAGGGGAATGCACCCATCAGGCAGCGTGAACCCGTCACGTGGATGCGGCTGCGGCCAGGGACGTGGAGGCAATTGTAATCCCCCTGGCAATCCACTCTTGCAAAACAGTACACACATACATACATACATACATACATACATACATACATACATACATACATACATACATACATACATACATACATACATACATACATACATACATACATACATACATATATACATTGGTCGGAAACTCCCGAGGGCAGCATGTAAGAAGCTGGGAAGGAGGTGGGACAACTGCCCTCCGAGGAGAGGTTTGTCAACACCAGGCCACGCCACGTGATATGATTGCCCTTTTCCTTTGCACCCTTCTTGATGCTGCGACAACCGTCAACCGTTAACTGCAACAACCATCTGAAGAGTTCACGACGGCTGGGTGCGTCATGTCCAGCATCAGCAACAGCCGCAACAAGTGCCACCCGGACACCACAGCCACCAATACCGCAACCATAATCAGTTGCGCAGTAGCAGTTGGGGGGGAGAGGAGGAGGCATCATACAGCGACGAAGCGAGTCTACGGCCCCCCGACGACTGCGCTGCCACCGCAACCGCCGCCGCAGCTGCAGTCGCCGCCTCCCATCCGTCGCTGCCATCGCCACCACCACAGCAGCAGCTGCAGCAGGAGGCTGCTGCCAGGGTGAGCGCCGTCTTAGGGAGCTCCTTCGAGCCGCACGTCTTCATGTACCGAGGCAACCCCTACAACCTCACGCCCCCGGTGCTCTCACTCGTGCGTGAGTGGGCGGGTGGGGAAATTGAGACGGAAACGTGGCAAGGAGGCTTTACGGGCTTGCTATCACTGCTGCTGCTATTGCTGCTGCTGCTGTTGCTGCTGCTGTCCGCTGTTCCGGAGGACCGAATAGACTAGCTTGCCTACCGAAGGGAGTTAGTTAGCAGAGTTACTTATTCAGGCTAAAAGGGGGAGCTCATAAGAGAAGACGCGGGAGTTGCCCCTGCTGGGAGCTGCCAGAACCATCGCCATGGGGCACCACGTCGCATGTTTAGGGAGGAGCCGGTCCCACATCCCCCCGTTCCCATGTCTCCTAAACCCGTGGGCCAGATCATGCAACGACGTGCAACGCACACACCGGCGCCTTAGGTCGTGTACTGCACACCGTAGGGGTAATGTTCCGAGTTGATTGGCAACAGCTCGCCAAGGTTCTTGGTGACCCGTGCGATGTTGCCCGATGTGCGCCCCGGCATACATAAATGCTGATAGGATAGCACGCATGAACGTGAATGACACGTCGTGAATTTCCGTGCGTCCCGCCGTTTAGCCTTCCCGCTTCACGCCGTGTGGGATGTCTGGGGCTTGCTGGTGACGCCGCCGGAGCTGCTGTCGCGCTACGCCGCCGTGTGGGCGGAGCTACTGCCGCGTGGCGGAGCTTGGCTCGCCGCCGCCGCCGTGTGTACGGAGCTGCTGCCACCGCCGCGGGAGCCCGCGGGAGCTGCTGCTGACGGTTGCCCGGTAAGTGGCTTTGAACACCTGGCACGGCTATGCACGCGGTATATGTACACGGCATTCCCTACCCTTCATCCTTACGCCTGGCGCCATGTGCGGCTTAAAACCAGGTTTGGTCTTTCTGGGTGGGGCCTAGATCTCTGAAGAGCTATGGAACCTTTGCCTGTCTTGCCTATCTTTTCTTCTGTCTCAGCATTACGGCGCCAACACGGTGTTGGAGACTTCTCCCGCACCCAACTTCACTCCTTACCGGCGCTTCCTTGCGATTATTGCCCCTTTATCTGAACCACCTCACGAAGTCCCACCACCCCCGACTGCTGGGACCGACAGCGTCTTGAACCACTTTGCCACACGTGCATCCGAAGGTCCCACACGTTTTAAACATGCACAGTATGTAGCATTGATATCACATCTCTCTCTCCGCTACACACGGGACCCCACGGGCTGCAACACCGCTATCTCCTTACCAGGGAGCCTGCATGCAGCTGGTTTTGGGTGATCAACAGTGCCCGGCTGCAGAGATACCCGCGCACACATACACGCCCGTGGCTTATCATCGCCGCCCCTCCCCTTCCTGTTCGCTTGGAAGTGCAGGCGCTAGCAGCATCCCTGAGCTCTCAGGGGTTGCATGTACACGACCTGGCGGGTGTGTTGATGCCCACCCTGGAGCGCGCGGGTTTTGCGATCGTGCAGTTGTTGGCCCCTAGTAGGGACCAGGTTGCTGAGGAGGCGGGAGGTGGTGTCGCGGTGAGCCACACAGCCGCCCGGGACATGGACGAACAGGAAACTGAGGTTGTGACGCAAAGAGGCGGCAGCAGCAGGGGTAGCAGCAGCACCTTGGAGTGTTTTCTGCAGGAGTTGGCGCAGATAGATGAGGCGTCGATGGTGTCTCCGACTCATGGGGAGGGTGTGGAGTTAACTGTCTTGGTGCTGGTGCGGACGTGATGTTTGTATGGAGTGGCCTTGTCCTGGTCCACCTGGGCTTGCGGTGGAAGGAGCTTATGGCCGCGGCTGGCGGCCCGATTGCACATGATGTCTGAGAGCTAGCTGCGGACCTAGTGGGGATGGTGTAATTTGTAGTGGGAGGATGCGCAGATTTCGTCGCCAGTCGTTCGTTACACGTGTAGCACAGATGTGTAGGTAGAGATTGCGCCAGCCCTACGATGCAGTAACGCCAGGGACGCGACACCCCGCACGACAACAACCCACGCAGCTCACGAAACCAACCGCTTCTAACCGAAATAGCTTTGCACATGGCTTTACTTCGGCATGAACTCCTCGACCACGAACTCCAAGTCCATGCCCTGGTTGTAAACTCGGAAGAGGAGGTCTATGTTAGGGTAGTCTCCTGGGGAGTTTTGCGCGTCCTGCACATCGTCGCGGTCATACATACACAGCGCAGTCATTGCGGACTTGCGCGTGAGGCGACATTTATACTGCTCGTCCTTGTAGATGTCATAAAAGATTGCGAGTGAAGCTTTGCGCATGTCCTCATCCTGTTTGCTCACGACGGTGTAGTCCAGTTTCGGTACATAGATTCGCGACACTGTCAATGGAAGCGGCGGCATATCTTTGTAGTCATAATACTCTTTTTTCTCGGCAAAGATGGCGATTGCTTGACGCCGTGTCCGGGGAGCCGCACGACTTGCTGAACGAACCCACGCCACTGCGCGTGATGATTCGCATGTTCCTCGTTGCTGCAATCTAATCCCCGATGGTGGAGCTGATGGGGATGCGCCTGCATGGCTCACAGCACGAGCCTGCATTTGGAGCGACGTCATTACACTATCGAGATTGCAGGGCTGGCGCTGTGAAATGACTAGCAGGATTTGAAATCTAACTTATCAAACTACTTTTCACTTGCAACCTAGGAGAGAGCAGTGGAGCGGTGAGGAGCACTCCGAAACCATTTACGGATCCATTCACCAGTGCCAGCTTGGGTGTTAGGCCACTTTCTTGCTGCCAAGTGGCTTACAGACATTCCTCACACAGAACGAATTTAAAAATGAGCACCCCTGCTGCGTCACTGGCGCAACTGGCAGAGGTGGCAAATGGTGACTTGACTGAACAGAGCGCTGAGGATGCCTTATCAGAAGCTTTGGAAGCAGCTTTAAATCTCAGAGCAAGCCTAGGCTGGGCGGGTTTGGAAGGCGAAGAGGTTTCAGCAGCAGCGCTGACTCGCGCTCTTGGTGAGATTCTTAAGAACACACAGGCAGGGCTCCAGGGCCGCGCAGCAACCGTGTACGCCACTATTCTGAGTATCCAAGACGCACCAGTAAGTGTCACTCTTCATCGCGTTGGACCATAACCCCAAGAAACGTTACGTCAATTGCACGGGCTCTATCTGCTGCGGTGTTTAACAGGTTGGGAATTTGTGCGAACCATATCCGTTTGGCGCATTCGTCCACTGCCTGAGAAGCATCTGTCTGCCTTCCAAGCGTGAAGCACCTGGCGAAGGGCCCACTCAGCAGGGGGATGCTGCCGGCGAGCAGATTGCGGGGGCATCTCCCCTGGCCCTGCTGCAGGACGTGGGCAAATTTCTTAAGCATCATAGCATGCGAGGTAACCCCGAGATGTTCCAGCTACTTTTGGAAACCCTTGTAGACCTCACCGGCAGCACAGCGGCATCCGGCAAGCCTGAGAAGGGCAGCAAGCGCGGTGGCGCAGCAGCGCGGAACCAGGGTGAGCGATTTGCAACTGGCATAATTAAACGGCTTGGGGCAATCTATCGCCAGCTTACTTTCTGTATCACGCGTATCGCCCGCGTTCCACGCCCCGGTGCTGGCAACGCCTGATCGTTAGGCTCTCATGGAGGCGGAGCATCTGTTGCGGAGGCGGCCTTTGCAGTGCTGCCGTTGGCGATGGATCCCCGGCACCACAGCGTAACTCAAATAGCTAGCGTGGTTTGCCAACGCATTACGCCTGTGTTGGTTGGAATAGACACGGCGAAGCGCAGTGGCCACGGCTGGGATCGTCGTACGGCAGCCCTGAACCTCATAAAAAACTTCTTCAGGTACATTTTATGAAATGTTCCCTTCTAAACTTTGCGGGGCTTCAGTAGCGGTACTCTGGGTTTATCTATCCCCTCGTCGTGTCGATGAGCAACATGTGGCATGCGCCATGGAGGCGCCAGCAGGATTCGCTTAAGAGTAAAATGGAGGGCACATATGAGTGCGTAGTTATGGGTGCGTATACGTTCTACATCGCTGCCGCGTGGCTTCCCGTGCCTTGCCCTGCCGGTATCCCCTCCTTCCCTTCTCCACACCGGCCTGCACCACAGCACCCATGACGCTGCGCAGCCCTGCCGAGCGGCCCTGCTGCGTCGAATATGCTTGCGGACGCCAGAAAAAGCGGACTACCGTCAGGTCGCCATCAACTCGGTGCAAACACTTGTAAGCTGGCTCCCCACGAAGAATACGCAGATATGTCATTTTGGCTCAGACACGACCGGTTGAGATTCCCTACAGTATCGGGCACGGGTTCTGGGTTGATGTGCCGGTGGGGGGCTTCATCACCTGTGTGCATCGCATGGCGGGCAAACGGGTAAATGTCGGCTTCAAGGACAAAACGGTAATCCGGGAGCATTCCTAAACCTCCTGGCCATTGCCCGCAATACCGGTGTTTAATGTCAACGTGGATGTGCAAAACACAATCCACCTGGGCGTGTCCTATATAGCAAGGTATCGTCAATGTGAACAGTTGGCGACGCCTCTGTAGCTCACATGCGTACGCAAACACCGCCCTGGAACGCTGCATTACAGCTGTCGGGCTGCACACCCGCCGAGGTCCGAGCGTTCTGCCTCTTCCTCTACCGCCTTTCACGGAACCCAAAGGTGAGTCGTCCCATATGCTTTAGTGCATGCGATAGGGCTGCAGAGACTCAGCAGCAGTCGGTTTGTCGGTGGTCTATAGACATTTTCCCGGGTAGAGAGCTTTGCAAACCAGGCTGGTATCGGATATGCGGTGTTGGACCTGCGGACAGCTCCCATGGCCGCACACGGCGGGGAGTAGTGGATGGGTGTGAGGTCGGTAGGCGTTGCGTGTTAGGAAGGGTGGGGGCCGTAAGATGTGACTTGGCTGCAGAGCTAGTTGATGCTGACAGGCGGAAAACAATCCGTGAATGAAACGTGATTCCAAAATCACATTCATGCTAATGCTATCGTGCGTCGAAATGAGCTGTATTTTCCCCGCTGGGAGAACAGATCGCCCACCGCACTATTGCTGTGGATCTGGCGGCCGTGTTCCTGTCCACCATGCCGGCGCCGTTCGCGGCCACTGACTCATACCAGGTAAGCGGGTTGACTGCAGACCGTTCAAAAATGGACGCCTCGGGAGCTAGCTGTGCCTTCCTAGTGCGTTTATTCAAGTTATGCCTGAGGCATCCGGGTAAAGCAGGCGGCTTTATTCGGGTCATTCACGTTTGCTACACTCTACAGCTTTTTGTTTCGGCCGTCAATTTTCTGTTCCAGACCGCTTGGAAGTACAGTTTTCTAGTCCCTGGTTTATTTCGCGTTTTCGTTGCTGAAATCCGTGAAGATGGAAGGGGGTTCCCTGCGCAGAAATTACCTAGTTTGAAGCCCCACCATGTGCCGATACCGCCACAGTACCGTTGAACCCCTCCACGCTTGGTTGCAACTATCGCGCCATAGCCGTGGGTCACCAACACCCCACCTCACGCGAGTCACCTGACATGTGACTTTCTTGGTGTATGTGCAGCGGCTGCTTGATGGCAGCTGCGGTGCGGGAGACCAGCTGGACGCCCCTTGGAGCGCAATCTGCTTGGCCATCATCGTCGCGCGCGCGAACGACAAGTCCCCCAGTAAGTGCATCTGCTTGACGGGCCAGACGCCGCTGTATGGGATCCGACGGGCAGTGAAGGTTGTGAAGGGGCGCTGTAAAGTTTTGGGAGAGAGAATTCAGGACGCACTGCGAGCGGGTGTGGCGAGCTGACGATGAGTAGATTTCCCGCCCGCGGAAGCAGGCTGCAGGTGGGCGAGCCCCTTCAGTTCTAGGAGGCCCATCCGTGCTTTGTGCATATCAAGCCGTCGCAGAAGCTTTCGGACTCTGTCTTAGTGTCTTCGGCACAGCCACTGTGGGACGCTCACAGCCTCTGCGATAACCACGCATCGCAGAAATTTCAAGCATAAGCCATACCATTTTGCAGGAGTCCTGCAAGGAGTCCTGGGTAGAGTTAACAATGCCAGGTCGAGCCCTTTCCTCTGGTCATTTAGCTTCCCTAAGTCTTCATAAAAGCCACATTTTGCACTTGCACATCTAACAGACGTCATCCTGTCTCCTTCTACTGCCCGTCCCAGCCGTGCGCGGCAAGGCGATCGGCTGCCTGGCTGACATCGTGCAGACGTTCGCTAAGCGGCTGTTGGACGCGCCCGATGGCGGCCGGGAGGCCGCTGATATCGCCGCCTTCTTACCTGCATTCTGTGCCTCGCGCCACATCTGCGTCCAGGTGCTCATGGGGCTAATAGACACAAGTCCGGGAAAGCTGCGTGGACTTCCAGTCCCAAAGCTGCGTGTTGTCTGTCCGGACGCTGCCGTTGCTGACCGGGCCGCATAGCCCCCTGGCTCATGTGCAAAGCCGGGTGGGGTCGTACCACGCGGGGTTTTGTCACCAACGGTGCTTTGTTCTAAACTCTTCGCGTACCAGGCTAAGCAGTGAACATATGTGTGCACATATGTTCACTGCTTAGCCTGGTACGCGAAGAGTTTAGAAGGATGTACTACTGAGCACACGAAGACGCACCGAACTTTGTATATGCTCGCGCGCACGTATGCGTGCGTGGGCCCACTAGGTCAATCGTCCGCATGGAGCGGGAACAGGAGACGCGGATGGAGGGTCAGACAATGACGCTGAAGGCGCTGGTGGCAGCGGTGGGCGCACGGCCGATGATAAGAATGAGGGCCCAGGAATAGCCCCACCGCCCGAGACGGAGGCGACGGCTACCATCCCCGGCAAGGTTTCATTGGTGCGTTCCACTGCGCATAGCTGTTTCGTTCTGTGTCATGAAGCAGAATGGTGGTCGTAGCTGGCTTGAACCGATGCCATGCATTTGGGTCATTGCACCTGACTCGCATGGGGTTACTGCTATTGCCTCCATAGATCCTTATGTTGACGCGCCCAACCGGCGTCGAGACCTTCCATGCGTTTCTTTTCCTATGGTTTTTTTGTGGGAAGGGACATTGACAATTTTCCGGACGTTCCACTCCATTTTCCCTTTCAGGAATTGTCCTGGATGCGAGCCATGTGCCACAGTCGATGTCGTGATGATAAGGCGGCCGTTCGCAAAGTGGCGCTGCAGCTGCTTGAAAGCGTCTTGGAGCTATGTGCGGCAGCGGCTAGGGCTCAGCCGCCACTGCAGCAAGCTGCTGGCCAGCGTGCGGCGGCAGAGGGCCCCTCCGCAGAGGATATCCAAGTCTTGGAGGATGGCACAGCGGACTCACTGGTGCGAATGGGGTGGCGGGGTTTAAGGGTGCTGGATAACAGTAATGGTTCGGGAAGGAGCTGACGGAAAAGTTGTAGGGGCAAGGCGAGGCAAGGTAAGGAAAGGCCACCGGTCTCCGCCCGTGCTGGCCGGTGTGGGTGTCGTGCTTCCCGTCTGAAGCTATGCATCTAAACCCCATTGGCGTCTGCAAAGCCCGCTTTGAGCACTGGCACGTCTGCTGCCGCTGCTGCGGTCCACTGTACCTGAGGACTGACTTGCATGCCCGCCGTGCACCACCCCCGCGCTCCCTAGCCGCTTGTCCGGCTGAGCGCAACCCTTTGGACCTCCTCTGCACTCCCATTCTGGAACGCACCCAACCCGTCACCCCGCAGGTCAGCGTGCGCAAGGCCGCCCTGCAGGTCGTGTGCAACCTCGTAGTGTGCTACCCACACAACGCGGACCTGGCCTGCATATGGGCGCGCTGTGTGCTGCCCCTGATCCGGGACCCGGAGAGCGCCATTCAGGAGGTGGTCGTGGAACGACTGTCCAATTTGCTCTTAGAGCCCGTGGCGGTGCTGGGCTCCAGGGGTGGTGGTGGCCGCGGCCGGGTTGGTGCTGGTGCGGGCATGGCGGCACTGCAGCAGCAGGCCTGCGCGGAGCTCCAGCCGAGGTTCGCTGCACTCGCGCAAATGGGGCGAGCAGCGTCAAGCTGCCTGGGCAAGGCATTGGGGATGATGGCGGCGAAGAAGCTGCTGAAGGGGCCCCAGGTTGCTGCGGGCCTGGAGGCGTTCCTTACAACAGGTGCGCACCCAGCAGGATGTATGGGTTGCTGTGCCATGCAGGGGGTATCGTGTAGCGGTCAGATTAGTGGGGTACGAGGGCTTACATCGTGTGGAGTCGCCTCTACGTGCCGAATGCCCCACCCGAAGGCGTATCGCGGCTTGGCAGTTCGGGGTTGAGCATATTAAGCCCCTTGGCGCTGCGGCAAGCTGCATTATGGGACATGGGTCGTTGCCAGTTCACTGTCGCCCTTTACACTAGCACTAACATCTTTAGCCCAACACCGGACCAAACAAAAAATGTTTGTCTTGCTGTAATCGGGTGCGCGTGCATTCAGGCCCAGGCATCCATGTTGACAACGAGCGTGAGGACACAGCAACGGAGGATGCCGCCGGCACCGGCGCTGCCGCGCAATCTCGGGGAAGCCAGATAGACACACAGCAAGAGCGGCAGCTGCAGCGACGGGAGCAACATCGAGTGGCACGGGACCAGCGTGAGGGGGCATGGATGCTGCTTGTTGAGGTTGCGGGCCATGATCCCGCCGCACCATCGTGGCAGTTCCTGCAGCGTTGCTGGGATGAGCTGCAGGCCGGGTGTGCGGGGACTAATGGTGAAAGGTCCGCGCAGGAGGGCGCCATGCTGCTGTGGGTAATCAGCCACGCTGCGTCTCGTTTCCCCGCGGCAGATGCCGCGAACCTGGCGTCCGGGCTTCTATCGGTAAGCGTCTCTATGGCAATCAACCCGCATCGACCAACTTGCTGTCGTGCCGCCTACATGCTTGTGGCAGCGAGCCCGGGCTTGCCACAGTGCGGGAAAGCTCCTTCTTGGAGAAGCCAGGAGAATTTTTTACTGACGGGAATTTTTTACTGACTGAATTTTTTCCGACGGCACAGAAGGCTAGGTCGTCACTGCATACGCCCCATACGCCCATACGCCCCTGTTTAAGATACGTCGGCTGATTCACATCCTGACTGGCATCTTTTAGGTTTTCCCGTTATGAGTCTGTGATGCTTTGCGCAACCGTGGCGACACATTTACCACATCTAACCTCGAAGAACGGAGGGATTTCCATCTTTTATGCCGCGTGTATTCACGCGCCGCGCAACCGCAGTGCTCCCAACCATGCAAATGTACCGTGTCACAGGCCATTCTGGGCTTCAACCTGCCGTGCGCTGCCGTGGCGGCCCACCTGGTGGCGTTACACAAGCTGACGCAGGCGGAGGGTGGGCAGGCGGTTGTGGGACAGCCAGCCGAGTGGTGTGCCAAGGTGCAGGTGGCCTGCGAAGAGGTGCTCACAAATGCTATGGAATCGCGTGGTAACATGGTAAGCTTGGGAATAAAGCATCCCACTTGGCTGGTGGTAAAGTAAGCAGTGGTCGTGGTGCATGTGTGTGTTTGTGTGCGTGTCAGGGGAAGCGGGAAACGCATGGGGCAAAGTGAGGAAATGTGATATGATTGGATCGGCAAAGGCAAAGCCCAGCTGATGTGCAGTATTACCTCCAATTTTCTCAGTTTACTCGCAACTGGTGCCAGGTATCCACACGCGTCCTCTATCCTATAGTCTCAAAGCAGCCGCCAATGACTTGAGCAGCCTGAGGCTTACCAGGAAATATGCTTAAGTTATATCCTTAAGTTATATCCTAACATCAGCACGTCGCTCTTGTGCCCCGTCACCACAGAGCAACGCGCTTGCTACCCACTGCCAGCTGGCGCTGTTCACTCTTGGCGAGGTGGCACTGCTCCAGGAGACAGCGCTCCCGGGCGGTGCGGCGGTCAAGGTGCAGGCCCTTACCTACGAGCACAAAGCCAACCAGAGCGGGCCTGCGGCAGCACGTCTCGCTCAGGTGCACATGATGCAAGTCCCACCTGCCTGCGTACACCTGACTCAGTTCAACCTTTTTATAGACCCCGTATTTCCCGTTTGTGAGTCTCTTTCAGTACCTTCTGCACAACTACTCTGAGCCCCATAAGGTCATACCTCGAACCCAACACAAGGGTCGTCCGGGGACAGCCCTGTGTCTAAAACAGCTTCACAGCAACTTCCCTTCCGCTCCAGTACACCTTCCTCTCATAAAGCTTGCTCACCACGCCTTGAGCCCTCTAGCGTAACGTTGGATAGGTGCGATCTAACGGGCAATGATGTGTGTCGCGCACACACGAGCAGGAACAAATCCAGGATTCGTCCTCGCACTCGACCCAACCCCCCCAGGCTGCAGTGTCTTCCCATGCGTGGACCTGCCTGGGCAAGATGTGCATGGCCGACGAAGGGCTTGCCAAGAAGTGTGTACCGTTGCTGGTGCAGGCAAGTTAATTGCCATGGCGGCGGGGACAGCCGTGACACCGAGGGCAGGTCCTGGCTTGGTTGGCCTTAGACACATGACACCTTGAATACTGCGTGGCCGTGGCCGCTCACGTGCTTGTTTTCTGAGCAATTACCCGGAACACTATTGAAGACATATGCCTCCATCTACCTCCTTTAAACAGTCACCAGATCTGTTTCTTCCACCATCTCGCCTCCGTCCGCGCATGCACCTGCCCGCCTGCCCGTGTTACCACCGTACTGTTCCCTGGCGCATTCCTCTCCCGTGCTGCAGGAGATGTCGGGGTCCCCGAACCCGGTCGTCCGAATTAACCTGCTGGTCGGGCTGGCCGACATGGTAGTGCAGTTCACAGGGCTGGCGGACGCATACGTGGGGCGACTGGCGGACATGGTGCGCGACCCCCACGAGCTAGTGCGTCGTCAGGCACTGGCCCTGCTGGCCAACCTGCTGCTGCGTGACTACGTCAAGTGGCGGGGCTCCCTGGTGCACAGGTTTGTGGAAGCTCTTGGGGGAAGGGGCTGTGGGTTGCGTGAAATAGGGCAGGAAACACACAGCCCTTGGTGCACAGGATTATGGAGCCGATGTATTCATGTCGTAAGATACCAAAGGCGGGAACGAATCAAACATAGGATGGTCGCTCAGCTAATGAAGATATGTGGAGGTGTGCCTTGGCGAGTTCAGGAGCTCTAATCCAAGTGATGGGGCTCGGGGCCGCACGTGTATGCTATGCGCGTCGGGCTGGGGAGTTGGGAGGTCAACAAAGAAGCTTCCCGAATCTGGAGGGGTTCCTCATGCGAACAAACGCTGCAGAGAGATGATTTATTAACGGGTGGAGATACCTGAGAGCTGCTGGCAATGCATCAAGGCATGGAACACGTGACTGGGCCCATGGTTCTGTTGAGAGTTTGAGGTGTCACATGTAACGGGCCTCCAGGGCACCCACACAGAAGAAGGGCACGGACACACAAGCGCTCTACTTCCCGTCCAGTGCCTGTGTGGGAGATAACTATTCCTGGGTTATGTGACAGGTTCCTGCTCGCACTAGTGGACGAATCACCCAGCGTGCGTCAGCTGGCGCAGTACTTGCTCAGCGACTCCCTGGTGGCCAAGGCGCCCATGTTGGCATACAACCACTTCATCGAGTCGCTCTTCGTGCTCAACGCCTGCAGGTGCGTCCGGACGCACAGCTGGCCACGTCTCTGCACGGCCGAAAGGCGGCTCTAGTGAAAGTGGTGCCTGTGGTTGCAGGGCTGTGTCCACATGGGTGAACATCTGTGGTGCAGCTGCACCCAGACCGCAAGGACTGTTGCCCCTCTACAGAAACATGTTTTCGCAGTCGATGAAGGGACATTGCGGGGCCGCGGTTTGGTGGTCACCGTAGACAGGTGCAGTCCACCTGCCCGTGTGCTAGCCCTTCTGGCCCGTACCTAGGAGGAGGAGAATTTCGTGATTTTCCGCCTCATAGCTTTCACGACCCATGTGCAAGCAGAAGGGCTTTTCTTGTAGTTTTAAAGTAGCGTAATGCCTCGCACCTGGTGAGGAAATTGCATGAGATATGGCGCTAACCTGATCTGCTTCCACACCCTTCGGGTGATGGATTTGCTTGACCTCCATGCAGCGCGGGCCTTCATGCACGCCGTGCCGCTGGCGCTGCTGCTGCTGAGCTGGCGTCAGAGCTGGTGTCAGAGCTGGCCCTGCATAGCAGCCAGGAGGGAAGCGGCTCCTTCCATCTGAAGGGTGCAACGCCTGTCATGAGGTACGTACATATGCACGTTTTTTCCATGGGAATCTGACATGCGGTTCGGCATCCGTACACCATTCATCACATTTGGTAGTTCTAGATCCGCCAGGTAACTTTTGTGTGGCGCAGCTGGATAGCGTTTATCCCGTCCGATGCCACAGCAACCGAGTCCCTGCTTGCTTGGTCTTCGGACTGCTGCAGAGCCAAGCGCGACATCATCTACACGGCCCTCCTCCGGCGGATGAGTCCCGAGCACCGTTTCTCGGCATTCGCCAGGCTCACCGCGGACATCCTAGGAGGCGTCGTGGACGGGTTGCTACCGCTGGCAGAGGCGGATGAAGTCCTAGGCGACGCACTGCGGTTGCTGGCATGCCCGGACATGAAGGTCAGTCCTTATGCATCCGTACAAGGGAGGACTCCTCACTAGCGATTTCTACCGATTCCGCCCTAGTTGCGTTGAAAAGGTAACCAGGGACGTGCTGGGAGTCACGGCCCAAGCCTATCAGCTGTGGATGGTGTCTAGGAACTTAAACTATTGATATGTGAGGTAGTTGTGGATTCGGACTTCATGTATTGTGGTCTTGCCGATTGCACCGCGGGTTGAAACACCATGATGCATGCAGCATGGCCCCTGATCCCGGTAGGCGTGCTTCTCTGTTGCAGGTGAATGCCAACCGCTTCGGTGCGCCCGCTGAGGAAGACATGGAGCAGCTGACCGGCACGCAGGAGGACGTCGCGAAGGCGCGCGGCAAACTGGTGAGCTTAACAACCCCCACGTGATATGCACTCATAATCATGAATCGCGTCCCTGACGGAAGCCCGTTTAAACGGGTTTTGGCGTTGAAGTGGGGACTTTGACGTCATTTGCTGTGGTCCGCCACGTTTGGGGTCCACACCATCCGGAAAGCCTCTGATTACCTGTCAAACAGAATACAGAATTGCTACCGCTCATTATTGCTACCGCTCATTATTGCTACCGCTCATTATTGCGCTCGCCAGTGATCAGCCAAAAAGTCATTATTATATTCTAAGGGTGCATTTCCAGTGCGGATTAAGGCCAGGGATTAGGGCACGGAAGTCCTTGGTACGAGCTTCCCACATAGTTTTGTTCCATAAGGGAACCAAAGGTTGAAAAGGCGAGGTAAGTTTGCCAACAACTTAGCCGTTTGAGCAAGTATCGATGGAGGACAGAAGGTTAATCCCTGGCCTTAATCCGCACTGGAAATACACCCTAAAAGTGGTGAACACACTTAATCGACGGCCGATCTGTGTCGCTGTTCAGCCAGTATTTAAACCAGTTTGTAAGTAGCAAATACCTAGTATTATATATGACTTCTTCTATTCACAATTTGTAAGTTTAGTTTGGCTTCCTTTCCTTCGTCGCATATGCGCCGTTATCGATTTGATAGCCCGATCCTTGCCTCAATACAATCATTTAAGCCTTGAACTGCTACTGAATTGCTATCTAGCAATGAAATGTTGTCAATTTCGCTACAATCGCTGACGTCCAGCATCATGGTCATGCTCTCCTTGACCACGACAGAAGGTACGCATGGCAACTTCTCTGCTCGCAGGTTGTAAATAATAAAGCTCCTAAATCGGTAACGTTCTATTACGTTCTCAGGTTGTGGTGTGCGATGAGAGAATCAAGACCGACCCCTATCGATCCTCGATCACTCATTCCTTTAACTAAATACTCTCCCTTGCCTTGCCGTGCGTTAATTGAATATGAGCCGCTAATATATTGCAGGAAATATTACCATTACTAACTGTTAATTGTAATCACGTTTCATTTTTTTATAAATACCTTTGAACAAGTACCGTGAGGGAAAGGTGAAAAGAACCCCGACAACGGGAGTGAAATAGACACTGAAACCGAATGCTTACAAGCAGTCGGAGCGGAATTTATTCCGTGACGGCGTATCTTTTGTATAATGGGTCAGCAACGAGAAGAAGAAAGTGGCAACCGGAAACTGGGGATGTGGCCTCACCGCCGCTGTCCTCAATCCTACATCCACTCCACACCTTAAAACCAAATTACCACAAAACCCCCACCAGAACCAATTGGTTGCAACCATCAGGATCCCCACTTGGCCATTGATGAGCCATCAGCATAATATATCGGGAAAAAAATGCGAATGGCCCAAAAAGACCCACCAGTTTAAATGTGGCGGCTAGTAGCACAACTCAATTGTTATCACCAATTAAGTTGCCTAATTCTCCATATTATATATTCTTCTTTCACTCCGACAATTGCTTGTGCTTTCTGTGGCAACAGCTAGCAATATGAAGATAGTTTGCACTGTATGACTGAGTAGTTGTAGTAATGATGCTACGTGTAACACAGCAAAGGCGTAACCCGGGATGCTCAGATTGGCATTTGCGTCGTTACATTGCCCCCCACTTAGCAATGGACGTCCTCGGCCATTATTTCGAGTACAGGAGCCATCCCACCTCGCGCCAGTGCGCTGGTTTATCCATTACACCATGAAATCGCCAATTTGCGACTTGCTGGTTGCCAGAATCGAACCGCCGACCCGAAGTTTATTTCGGAATTCGTGCGGTCCCGTCTCGATACCATTGTAACACAGCAAAGGCGTAACCCGGGATGCTCAGATTGGCATTTGCGTCGTTACACTACGGTTGGGACATGAACATCAAGACTGCTGTTTATGTGTGTGTGTGTGTGTTACATGGCTGGGGTGCGTGACCCCATACCTGTAGAACTACCCATACGAGCCGAAGGCCCAAGGGCAATACCTAAACACCTAAAAGCCACGGAGAAAAGGAAACACCGCATTATCAGCCCTCCTTTACCCCCACGATATGTTGTGGTATTCCACTTTAAATTTGCACTCCAAGAAGGAAAACAGTCGTAACATCGAGGTTCTCCAGCCTGCCCATTCCGAGTTGGCCAGAGCATCGGTTATCTCCTGCCATAAGACTTCATGAGCAATGGATCCCACTTGTTTTTGAAGGTTGTTCCAGAAATGGAGGATCTGTTTCCCATGTTTCCCATGGTGTACCACGTAATGCTGTAGGGGGAGGTCAGCCAACTCCGCATACAACTGGTGGGATGGTCATGCCGCCCCCACTATCTGGAAAATGGACACGCTTCCAAAATCTCACAATCTGTTTGAAAACATGCCGCGACAATTCAGCGAACAGGAGGTGATGCGTTGGTCTGGCAGCTCCCACAATTTGCCATCACATGGAAAAACACGCCTTTCACACTTTGAGACATTTGGTCGCATCCCAAAGGCTTTGTGTAGTAGCTGGACGCCGCTGTAAAGGCCTCTCGAGATGCTGGTGAAGCGCTTACCGCGTATATGTAGTTGTTCAAGGTGCCGTACTGCGTACCACCTACTGCACTTCGCAAAACAAGTCCACAAGATGTAGCAACTCAGACATGTTGTTTAGCCTGAATGGCAGGCAGTGTCGATTTCTAGATCGATGTCGTGACCTGACTGGGAGACAGGGATGACAGATGTGCGCATATGGCCTAGAAGGGTTAGTTTGCTGTAACTACATGTTTACCTTGCAATCGAGACAGCCATTCTGATCACCACCCACTTAACCTGCCTGACCGTTTACCCAACTGACCATTTACCACACTGACCGTTTACCCAACGGATCGTTTACCCAACTGACCGGTTAACGTGTCTTTAAATATCCTTAGTCAGTCAGTTTGGTTAACGAACCCCAGTAGTGTTCGAAACGGTCGGTAACCGGCGTGTCTATGCCATAGGGATGCCTAATGCAAGAAAACAAACCGTTTTAATCATTGGAAAAGGCACACAGCCCACATGCTTGCAAATGCCAGCAGATAAAAGCTTTTCGCCTAAAACTTTCCAACAACATGGAGCAGGAGAGGGGGTAAAGTGCGGGGAAGTGGGGCGGCCGCCCCACGACCCCGCACATACCCCCAAAGACCTCCTGGCGCCCGACATGCAATCATGATAGGGATGAGCGGGAGCCAAGGGAAACATTTGAAAGCATTATTGCCCTGGGCATGCGTGCCAGGCTTCTGCGAGTTATGTCCTTGGTCTTGGCCGATATCTCGCCATCCGTAGGTTGGCGCCATGATGCGGAAGCACCTGGTCGACAGCGTGATGCCACTGATGGTAGAGCTCAGGTATATGCTGCAGGTGAGGCCAAAGACGCAAATCGGGAGACATGAACGAGGAATGTCAGGCCATTACCCGGCATGATCCACCCGACTTGGAGGAATTGCGGCCCTCCTGAACGGAGCATATCAAAGGGCAGTCAGGCTGCACCTCCGGTGCACCAGATGCATGGATGGTTTGCTTGCATGCCCGTCATCTTACAACAAGGCAGCAGGACATCATATGCATACGCATCGTAGCCGTTGTCTAGACAGTAAGCCGATAGCTGGCAACCTACCTACTAAGCTCCGTCGAGAGCCAGCCCGCCTACCAGTGACCAGCAAACGTACTTATCCGCAGGCGCAGAAGCACCCGTTGCTGGGCTCGTTGATGCTCTGCATGGCCACCCTCCTCCGGGACTACAAGTCCGAGGTGGAGGACATTCTTGTATCGGACAAGCAGGTGTGTCCAGAGGCTGTGAGGGGTGAGGGGTGTCGATGTGGACTAATAAGATGTGGCGACTGCCAGACAGTTGCAGCTCAGGTAAAAGGGAAAATGGCTGAGGCCTGTTCGGGCCGTGTTCGGGGCCGAGACCAGCCCCCATGTGACGATTTGTGTGTGTGTTTTGGCCATGGCGTGTAGCCAGTTTTGGCAAGCATCGCCTTAAGGTCGGTGTGATTCATGTTTCCTTTCTGTCGGTCCCCTTGTATTCACCATATCCCATTTGGCTCATGGATTTGGCCTGTAGCTGGCGCTGGAGATCACTCACGACATAAAGCACTACGAGACCTTGGCCAAGCAGCAGCAACGGCAGCAAGAGGCAGCCATGGCGGCTGCTCTTGCTGTAAAGCCTGCTGCAGCCTGTCCTAGCGCCAGCAACGCAAGGGCTACACCCCAGAACCACGCCGCTGCACTGGCAGCCACCGCGGCCGCGTCTCATTTAACGCCACCAGCCCATGTCGAGAGACAGCGACGGCAGACTGCCATATTGCCAGGTAATTTCTAACCTGGTAGTTTAGTTTTTGAGCATGTACGCCGTAGCCTCCACCCTTTCCACCTTGCTCGTTCCGTAGGCGCTGCATAACACAAATGCAGTAATATATAACCAATACTAGTATATGGAGTACTCCCCGGCTGCTAGGACGTTTACACAACTCGTTCTTAAAGAATGATCCATTGATTTGGAGCTGCAGCCAGGCGCGATGATATGCTATGCCGCTTGGTACATAAAGCATGTGGCCTCCCTTCCCCCAAAGCTGGCATAGAGCCCGGGATATAGCAGCTAACCCAGCTATACCATGCTTATGCGCCTGACTTGCCATTTGGCCAGGCGTCGAGCCGGCCCGCACACCGTTGGCTGCAGAGGTGCTCGCGACGGCCTCGAGGCGTGGCCTTCAAGGTCCCCAACAAGCTATGCAGCGCACTCCAATTGCGGCGGCGGGGCCCGGTGTGGGGCCGTCAGCTGCAGCCGTGACTCCAGCGGCAAGAATGCAAGGGGCAGGTGAGCCTGCGCGGCTGGGATTGAAGGCTGCCAAACGGCCTGACTGTGGCTACTATAAGAGGTTATGCAAAGCACGATTAGCCTCTTCTGTTTCAAGGGCGGGGGCCCCGTCGAATGAGCAGCAGGATCTCATTTGCATGGCAAGGCAGTCCACAGTGGTCATGCATCCAGGCAGTCCACAGTGGGCTATTAGGCTGTAGTCCACCTCGCTGTTGGGTCGTCCCTTGTGTGTGTCACAGCTTGTCAAGTCTCTCTTCCATTCGTGCGTGCGCAGTGTCAAAAAGGGGTTACAAAGGGTAATATATCGGCTCCCAACACACCACAGGTTCTGCCGCCATGCGCACTCCGCGCACTGGGGTCCCTGGCACCATTCAACGCAACATTCCTGGCGGCTTGAGTGTAATGCTCTCCCCGGCGCCGCTCTCCATAAGAGCCCGGGCAGCACAGCAGCAGCGTGCTCCGGGTGCTGCTGCAATGGGTGCACCTTCTTTTATAGCCACTGGTGCAGTGTGCGGCAAGCCTGGGAGTGCTGCCGATGCAGCAGTCGCCCTGCCTGAAGGGCGTGTCACAATCCTGCCGGGCCCGTCACCACCAGCTATTCAGGATCCAGCTGGGGGAATTCGTCCGTTTGGGCTCCACAACCCAGGTGCTGACGCCGGGGGCCCAGCAGCAGTAGCAGCAGCAGCCTCAGCTGGCAAACCGCCGCCGCGTACCCCGCCGGCGGTGCTGGCAGCTGCCGTGCGGGCTGCTCGGCAGGCCGCAGCAACTGCATTGGTTGATGACAATGACAACCGCGGCGAGAGCTTAGGGAAGGACGGTAGTGCTGGCGTAGATCCGATGGACGTAGATGGAAAGGCCGAGACAGACAGGGATGCGGTAAAGGAGGCCGGAAATGGAAGTAAGGGAGGGCGAAGGGGACCGCGCGTGAAGCAGGAAGCAACAATGGGTTCTACAGGCGTGGCGAATGGGCCTTTGCCTGAGGTCAAGGATGAAATGGGAGGTGCGCCACGTGGCGGACGAGGTTGCATGAGCAAGCGGCGGCACGGAGCCGCATAGCATGGGACGGATTTCAGGGGGCACGTTTGCGGGGGAGAGGTTTGCGTCTTGTCAAGCTGGCCAACCACGTTGTGGCGCAACCCCGTTACTCCCGGAAAACGGAAAAGCTGGCTCTGCAGGGTGCGTGCGACTGCGAGATATTACTTTCATCGTAATGTACGACAAGGAAACTTTCAGTGCATCAGTGGCTAGTGGGCAGCTGCTAATGGAATCCTGCGAGTTCGGGGACTTAACTTTTAGGCGAAAATTTTCCGCACGCTTCGCGTTTCTTACTTGCCAGTGCCATGGCCACGTGACACAGGCTGACGGTGTTCGGGTGCCTTGTGATGTAACTCGCTTCCACGTCGCATACTATGTGGGCCTAACCTCCGCACAAGGGACGTACAGTTTTTCATGGCGCGGCGTAGCCTTTTCAGAATTAAGCCGGCAGTGCACGCAACCCCAAGCTGAGGGGAGCGGTTCGGCCATACAGCGAAAGCTACCAACTCTAGAATCTAGAGTCTAGCCCAGTTTCTTAAAAAGTAATTGCTAGTGACCAAGTGTTTACTGAGGAAATAAAGTAAAGCGCAGCTGTACGACGGAAGGTCCAGTCGTTGTTTACCGTCTGCAGCTTTTCGTACAAAGCTGCACCACCCGGGGCCACATCATGTGCGGGGTGAGGGGGTCGGGGGGTACTGCCCCCTGATAAAACTTTTGTACGGTGGTTACCAAAGAAAGCCCTCACAGTAACCACTTGGTCGCTAACAAATTGCCGGGGCGAAAAAGTTTAAAAAACACGTAGCAGTTAGCCGGGCTGGGTCATGTGTTTCCCCTCGCCGAAGAAACGAATTTGCGACAATATTTCAAAGGCCACAATCGGAAGATGATAAGATATCAACGCGAAAGTTCTGAAGCTTCAACGCGATAGCGTGGGCAGCGAATCGGATGGGCTACTCGCAGCAGTCCAAGCCGTCAATCCGTTGTAATTACAAAAAGCAGGCTAAGACAGCACTTCATGTGACAAAAGAAACCCAACGTTGCATGCATGCGTCCACTCGTGCACAACACGCGGAAGGCAAAGGATTGGCAACGGAACTTCTGTGAGCCAGCCAACGCCGTCAACTGCTCCCGTGTGTGCTGAGCATGTTCTAGTCGCAACAAGGTCCGGCAAGGCGCGAATCATGAATCCCACTGCAAAGGGCCTAAGTTATCGGAATGGACAGATGTTGGGAAGTCAAGACAGGCTACGTGGCCCTCTGCGCCTTCCTGCACACGAAGCGCACGTCCTGCTCGCAGCCCTGCATCTGCAGACCCCCGTCCGCGGCCATGAGGGGACACAGCATTGGGCCGCTGCTGCCAGTGCGGCTGTCGTCCTTGCGCTTCAGCCAGCAAGTAAACTGAAGATCGGCGCACAACTGCAGTACGGCGGCATACGCGTTGCTGCTGTCGTCCCAGTACGGCACCAGGTCCCAGCCAGCACCCAACTCCTGGCAGAACTCGACAGCCCCATGGTACGACATGCGTACGGCCGCGTCTACGGTGTACAGGCGGTAGTCGTAACCATGGCTGCTCAGCGACAGCACGCCTTCGCTAGGAACAGCAACGCCGCGAGCAGCCGCTCTTCCTGCAGGGGGGTTGTCACAACGGTCGATTCATGGGTGAGGTTGGAAGATAGGCAAGGGTGTGCGTGTTATCGCTAGCTAGCTTCATTATGCCGTCACGATGACAGATGCACATGTGTGGCAGCTGGCCGCCGTAAAGGCCTCTTAATCAGATACGATCTGGGTGCCGTACTATCTACAGCAACGCCCCGAAGATCCAATGAATTGTTGTTTCACTGGCAGGATGGTAACCCCAGCACGCAAGTAGATCATCTGCCGCAGGCGCACTATTCCTCCCATACGAACATATGCCCATCCAGCACGTGCAAGCCACTCATCTAGCTATCGGGTTGCGTACCAGCGGCTGCTCTCTGGCGGCACACGAAGCGGACGGGCTGGTCGCAGCCCTGCAGGTGCACGTCTCCCTCCTGGCTCATCAGGTAGCACAGGTCGGAGGAGGGGTCTGCTGGCACCCCGTCCATCCAACACGTGTAGCGGTTCTTGGCGCACAGCTCCCGGAGGACGGCTGCAGGCGAGCAGGGTCGTTCGTACATTTAGGCAGCAAGATGCACATACATGCATACATGGTGCTTTCAAGGACAGGCAATCAACGAGCACTTCGAAATTGATGTGCGTGATGCGTGTGACGTTTACTGCGAAGAAGCAAGCAAGCAGGGCGCGAGTAGCCGCTACAACAGGAATAATTGCATTCCTCTGGCCTTGCACACACATAGTCTCTTGCCCTGCCGCGCGTGTGTGGATGTCGTGGACCCGCTCTCATAATCTAGCGCGGGCTCCTGCTGATGACATAGATACATTGGTATGCATATCCTCACCCAGTGACTGCGCCTCGCCGTGAGGTGCCAGCTCCAGACCGTCCTGCTTGCAGATTGCCTTGGCCGTGGTGAAGTTCCACAAACAGCCACCCGTATAAATGTCGTACAGCGTGTAGATACGACCACTCTCTTTGGTATTGTTGTACTTGATCTTGTTGTAGCGGTACGTGAAGGGATTAGAGCAAGGCTGAGGCAGAGCGAGGGGGGGGGGGGCAAAAGGGAGGGCGAACAGCAACAGCAACCTACATATGGATATGCATGTATGAGGGTACTGACGAGTATGATTCTACGTTCCAGGCATACGCATGCCAGTTCACCTGCTGCAGGAGGGCAGAGCATGAAGACTGCTGGCTACTAGTGCGACGCCTACAAGGCTGGCGATAGCAACGTGGATGCGAGTTGCGTCTTTGGTGCTGCAGCATTCACCGCAGCGCGTTCGTGCGCCTTGACGTTTGGTGCTATCTATCCAGCCAGACGTGCTGGTCGCAGCTGATATGTAACGAGCCGCGGCTGCCGTCCCCGCGGTAACTTGCCAACTTCTCAGTTTTATTGTTTCATCGGTCAGCAGCGTCATTACGACAAGCATGCATACAGTATCAAGTAGTCACGTGTGCAGCACCGGCTGTACCGCTCACTCACCTGGTCACGGCACACGAAGCGGACGGGCTGGTCGCAGCCCTGCAGGTGCACGTCTCCCTCCTGGCTCATCAGGTAGCACAGGTCGGCGGAGGGGTCTGCTGGCACCCCGTCCATCCAACACGTGTAGCGGTTCTTGGCGCACAGCTCCCGGAGGACGGCTGCGGGCGAGCGAGCATGCATGGATGCACGTTGTAGATACAATGACGGCGCTTGTGCACGCAATGTGCAGCAAACCGAGTAAAACAGCATATATGATGTAATGAGGTGCCGCTCTTACGCAGTCCTAGTATCAGTGAGGGGCGGAGGAGTTCGCTGATATGCTCTATGCCATTGTGCTCACCCAGTGACTGCGCCTCGCCGTGAGGTGCTAGCTGCAGACCGTCCTGCTCGCAGATTGCCTTGGCCGTGGTGAAGTTCCACAAACAGCCGCCAGGGTAAATGTCGTACAGCGTGTAGCTGCGGCCGCTCTCTTCTGCGTTGTCGTACTTGATCTTGTTGTAGGTGTACGTGAAGGGATCGGAGCATGCGGCCATGGATGACGGCAAAGCGACAGCCAGTAGGAGGGCGAGCATCCGCATCCGCAGCATGGGCGCGGTTCCGACGGGTGAGATGCCTCGGCGGGTCAGACTGGTATGTTGCGCCCAGCTTGCTTCGGCCATGTTAAGGAGTGTTAGGAAGGTTGCTGTGAGTGCGGGGAATCACACACAGGTAGCTGCTCGTAAGGCTTGAGACCCTTCTCTGCTCGTATGTACTTAAAGAATTCCGAGTAATATCTATTACTGATGTATGTGTTGGTGGAAAGGCAACGGAGGCAGGGCCCTATTTCACATGGGATAATGATCGTTGCCAAGAAACGGTGACACGACAAAAATGCAGTACGGATGTGACCTTGATGTACCGCGCCTCTTTACCGACGAGTGGCAGTTGATTGCAGCTGGCCGGCAGTTACTCCGAAGCGACAGGAGCAGCCATGGCAATAGGCCTATCCAATACGCCGGTTGCCAATATCATTTAGAAGACCCGCGAACATGTGCATTTGCTGTACTATGGCGAATGAGGGTCACTAGAAGCTGCAGCTTGCAACCGCAGTTGGTGAATTGAATCACCTGCTGCATCCCGATACTTCTCGGTCAGGTCAACGGCATCCCGGCTGTTGGCATACCAGTAACGTACGATAAGTGCCCATGAACCAGCCCATTTACCGACCAAAATAGTGATAAATGCACCAGGCGGCTCTTCGGCTTCGGCAGTAGCAAAGGCCGCGTATGCCGGCACTGCGCTTCATGTTCGTGCTGGCGCAACTTTGCCTGTCCTCGTCGCCGTCTATCCCTATCCCGTCGTTTCAGGGCCTCCTAAATAGGGTCGTTAATTTTCTTAAGCAAGCATGAGCATCGCAAAACCGGCTGTGACCTGTCAACCTATGAAAATGTTAATCTACTCAGAAATGTACCACATTGCTTGGGGGACGCATGACGCTGGCAACAAGTTGGGGCTGAGCCATGTGGGGGGTTGTCCGGGCAGGTTTGGGAAGCCGGTGCTTGTTAACGCAGTTCCTTCCTGGGCCTTCCTGAACTCGTTCCGTGTCTATGCGGGGAGCATTTTCGTCACGGCGAATATGCTCGCCGGGGAATTTCTTATGGAGCTTGTATAGCCGGTCCAAGGACGGGCCCCTGCCCAATGGGCCCCCGTGGGTTGGGGAGGGCCCGTACCCCACCCGCTGATGTGTGTTCTCTACATTCTCTACATCCTAAACCCGCACGCTGTGTAAGCATATTTGCATCTGGCGGATAGTTTTTTGGGCGGGGCCCCAGCGCGAAGCGCCCAGGGGGGCCCCGACCTGTAGGATTGCCCATGTCCGTGTGTGTGTGTGTGTGTGTGTGTGTGTGTGTGTGTGTGTGTGTGTGTGTGTGTGTGTGTGTGTGTGTGTGTGTGTGTGTGTGTGTGTGTGTGTGTGTGTGTGTAACGGACCAAACATAATATCTCGCCCGGCTGAAACGCGTTATAGGTACTATACAGCATTCTCTATTGCAAGGTATCTCGCATGTAGCCAACAAAAATCGTATGAGCACAAACAAGTTTGGCTGCCTCAATTGACCGAGGCCAAAGTCACATCAACGCCTCTCGCGCTAAATTTCATCTCAAAAGGTACCGCGTATCTCATATTTGAATTCTTAGATGACGGCGTATGATAACTCGAACTCCCAGGCCTTGAGTGTGTAACGGACCAAACAGAATATTTCACCCGGCTGAAACGCGTTATCGGTACTATACAGCATTCTCTATTGCAAGGTATCTCGCATGTAGCTAACAAAGACCGTATGAGCAGGGGATCCTCA